GCGGGGAAACCCCATTGGATTTCGAGTCCAACGCCTTAACCTCTCGGCCATCACAGCTGCACACACAAAGGCTGTGAGGGTTGAAACTTTCCTTTTTGCTTTCTGTCTCTACAGTTACTGTCAATTATTTATGTTTGGGCAATGGCATATTTAGAATAGAATCAAAATGCACAACAGTCTTATCGCTGTGCAATAGTTTTGTTTTCAAACCTTTTTTAAATAAAAGTTGGACCGGTTCCCAGTCTTGGTAGCACGATTAACACTTACCTGGTGAGATGACATGGTCATGCTATGGCATTGTCCCTGAATCGTATCATAACCCATGTATCTAGATAGGTATTGGATTGAAGGGAGAGGTGCACACCCCTAAAATCTACAGTTGCAATGTCAAAGTAGAGAAAAGATGAGAGGCAGTTCTAGCTGACTGGTGGAGAGTCCCAGGCGTTTAACCTCTGAAGGATTGTTTACAACTGGAGGGGTTTTTGAGGTCACTTGTGGGTTGTTAGTCCACCTGGCTGTGAAGTGACAGCTGGCACTTGAGTCAAGGTGTGAATGGGTCTTAAACTTGGGAACGGATGTCAGAATATACCGCATATAAAGCTTTAAAAAAGCTTTCTGTATGTCACCAGACGAGTGCTGTAGCCTGGCCAATCTTTGCTATGCAGGGAATGTCTTTGTGGGATTTATAATTACTGTGTGGTGAGTCCCTATTGGATTTTGAGTCCTACATCTGAACCATCACAGTTACTTTGATTGGGAAGGCTTGAGTAGGGTAGGTCATGAGAGTCCTGTTATAATAATAAAAATACCTTTTAGTGGGGTTTCTAAGCAACAAGACTGTACCAGAGAAGTCTTTGTGTTCAGGCTCATATAAACCCCAGGGAAGTAAATAATGTAATAAGCAAGAAAGGCCAAGGAAATCTTCTTAGATAAAAAAATAATGAACCAAACATCTACTATTACAAATATCATTACTAATATGAAGGCAGTAGATAGAGAAATTATTCTAAAAAGTTTCCATATTTCTTTGCCCTTGAGGAAAGACAGTCCACATTACAAGTAAATGAAACCACTTGCCATTAATTACGCTTAGCAAATGAGATTATCCACAGCTGTCAGACCACACACACATCGGACAGCGAGCGGGTGCTTCTCGCCCCCCCCCCCCCCCCCGCCATGCCTAATTTCATTATTCTATTAAATAAGGTTCATTAACAGCGGCTGGATGGAGAAACTTCGCCTCTAAGGTTTGATAAACACAAGCACTGTGGAATATGAAGCGATGCAAGCTTCCCCGTCCTCATTTGTCCTCGGCTCTTTTGTCTTTTTGTCTCTTGTCCAGTAAATTACAGTCTTTTGGTTCCAAGTGACTGCTCTGTGAAGAATTAATAACATTAATTAATGTTTGCACTTTCTGCTATAAGTGATGCCTTTACTAGATGTACAACATGAAGGGGAAAGATGAAAGATAAGTGCAGGTTAAAGATAAAAAAGTGTCATCTGATAAAATTTATCTCAAGTACAAGAGGATTTTGCTACTGCTGGACGCTGTGATGGCTGACACAGGTAATCCAATAGGGGCTCAGAGTGATGTACAATTTACTTGATAGTATGGAGAGTGATTGCTGCATGCAAAGGACCTTTCAACAGTATTGGACTCAATACTGCTTAATCAGGGCTCATGGCTTTCACATTGCGGAATCAACAGTTTATTGAGGGCGCTGTCATGTCATTTATGAGCTCTTAATGCAAACTTTACAAGCACCTACCCATACTTATTCTATGAGGACATAATCAGAGAATTTTAGTCACACAAGCCTCATCTTGCACATCTTACGAGTCTCTCGCTGAAGCAACGCGACTACTTATGTGTCCTGTGCAGAGGAAGGACTTATGTGCAGCTTTTGATGAGCAGGAAGAGGGTGGAGTTGGGTGACCTTTCAATCGATGTCATTAGCTGAGATTCAGTCATAATGTGAGCGTACAGCTATGCTCTGGCTGATGTGATCGCATCCTGATTGCAATGTGTTCTGTGGCTACATGCTTTATCAGTGTGTAGCTGTGATGGCCGAGTGGTTAAGGCATTGGACTTGAAATCCAATAGGGTTTCCACGTGCAGGTTCAAACCCTGCTTACAGTGTTTAGATTCCTTATTGATTTATTTAATGATCCCTTAGATGTAAAAAACATGCTCGTAGGCCCACAGAGAAGCTTTCCACTGTCAGCAGGTGAAAGTGAAAACATCCTTTGAGTGTCAAACTCTGCACATACATCATTCTGCACAGTGAAGATCAAACATCCAACTGTAGGAGCAAGGGTGGCTTTAAACAATTTATTTATCACTACTGGTTGCCTATGGGAGCTCCACTGCTATCTGTGTTTTGGTTAAAGTTTCATACTGTTTGAGTGATTTCTATGCATTTACTGGTCCAGATTAGACATTCAGATACAGACCACATGATATAACTAGTTGTAAATGCAGTCATACTGTCATAGCATCGCTGCAAAAGTGAAGGAAAGTCACAAAAGAGGCGAATTGCTGTCACTTCTCAATCACGTCGCTAGAAGCCATAACTGTTGACACACGGTGGGGTTTACACAATATGTATTTTGTATCTTATATAGTAGTCAAAAAGACAAACTGACTGATAGAGAATGACACAGTAACCATCTGAAAGTATAGTCTACTCTGATTGTTTTAAACAGAGAGACCTTTATATCACCTGTGTTGCAAAACAGCAGCGGCAGTTTAATCTCTAAATTGCTTCGCAAATGCATTTTGTAGATTTGCTTCTGAAGAAGATTACAGGTAGATTAAGCAAACCATTTGTCACGTTGCAACCTGGTTAACCTCTACTTAAACCAAGTGTAAAGTCTAATACTGCAATTCACAAATGGGTGAGTTAATGAAGTGCTACTTGAATGAGACGGAGTGTGTCTGCGAGTGGGAGTGGGAAACTGACAGAAAAGTGTGGGAAGGTGCGAGGGCTTAGCCGATATAACGCAAAGACAACACAGTTATTATCTTTTTCATCCCAAAATAAATGGCCCCATTAGCTGTGATGATGCAGGTCATTAAAACATCTCCAACCTCCACCTGCCGCTGCCTTCAGAAGCTCCAGACTCACATCATTACATTCACATCCCATCTCACAGCTCTCGCTCATATCAACCCACCACTTAATGGCATCACACGCCTAATATAACTGCAAGGTGCAAGGTTAATGCAGAATAGTTTAGTGTGCACTCTTCATTATTCTAATGACTTTTAGTTTGCATTGCAGTGCCCTCTAGAATCACCAGTCACCAGGGGTAAAAATTGGCCAAAACAGGCAGTAAAATTACCCACAGGAAGTCAAAAACATTTAGAAAAACACACATTCATTACTTTGTAGTCATCATATTTGATACCAATATGTTGTTTTAAAAAACAAAAGCAATATTGCTGTTTTACAGATTCAGTGAGATTCATTAGAATTTGATGAGTAGTGCAATATCAGTATATTTGATTTATGTACAGCTTCATGCAACGTGTAATCTTAGTAATAATTTAAAATAAGATTAAGATATCTTAAAGCTAAAATAAACATGAATTGTCAGACTGCTACAGAATGTGTACTGGTACCTACAGATTATTATGGCCTCAATGAATAATAAAGTGTCTCATTATTGTAATGTTGATCCATTATATGTTTTATTATGGGCAGACATCAACATTAATATTTCATTCAACAGTAGATATCAAATATAATTGCCACTGCAGCCCATATTTCTCTGTGTTTATGTCTGTATGTGGTGTATATTCTGCCCCACATGCACTGCTAAACAAAAGCTGTTAAATGGTGGCAGGGCAGCAGATAAATGGGGATAAATGGGGTCACTGATTCAGGGGGCCGGTAGGGATCAGCAGGTGATTTATTACAGTGGTAGAGCTGCGGGTGTTTCCTGAAGCCAAATCCTCAAATCAGAAAATGTGGATAAGTTATTGAGTTTGGAGGTTTTTCAGGAGGTAAAAGGATGTATAATTTGTTACCAAAATCAAGCTTTTTTAAAGTCTTTTTTAGAACGAAATACCATCTTTGTTGTCAGGACAAAACACCAGCAGCAGTAAACCTACGCAGCACCGGGAGGATAATTGTTTGTTAGAGCATTTTTACACCAAACAACTCTCAATGTAGTTGCAAGTATTTTTTTATTAGGAAAAAAAAATGCAACCTATCCTTTAAGGATGCAGTGGTTCGAGTAAGGACAGACTAATGCCAGGCTCAGACGACGTGGTATCACCCCGAACAGTGGCCTGATTTAATGAATAAAAACTCAGAATTGGACACAAAACGTGTTTTATCCTGTGTGTGTCATAATGGAGGATAAGCAATTCAACAAGTGTTTGATGCCTCACAAAGCGCTGAAATAAAAACTAACATTACCGAAATATACCTCTGTGATGCTTTGGACATGAGGTGAACTATAAACATATTGGTTGGAGTCTGACATGTCTGATACCATGATCTGCTAAAGACATACTATATATTTAATGTTTAATATTCAGGTTAAATTCGGAGACTGATGTTTTTGGTATAAAGTATCTGTTATTCTCCTGGTGGTTGTTTGTGATGTCTCCAGTGCTCGCCTCAGGGTAGATCGTCCACGTATAATCCTCCAAACCGCTTTACATCGTAGCACTTTTCACAACACAACAGCAGATTTATTGAATGTGTTTCCAAAGAAAACTGGTGGGAGATAAGAAAGGATGTGGGTAAAGATGAAAAACCACCAAATCTGGAGTAACATGGTTGTATGTGTGAAGTATATATTTTTTTATTATCACACTAAGGACATCTGTTTTTTTCTCACCAAATCTGTTGAAATCTAATGAAAAACGGCCGCGTTTGATTCAAAAACGGTGTGACTGGGTTAATAAGACAAAGCTTCTCATTCAGTTTAAGCCCCTCGATGCTTCCCGTCTGAAAACCTCCGTCCTTATCACCGACACCTTTCAATTACCCTGGCTGCCTCTAAGCCGCCTTTCTGTTTGTTTTCCACTCCGTCCATTTAGTGGGAAGTCTAATGGCCCTCCCGGACTCGCTCAATACGTTTGCACTATCACCATAAATGTGTTTACCTCAGTACATTTCATTACCTTTACGGTTGGGAGTGAATATAAAACTATGGCATATGAGCATTCAGAACCACGAGTGTAATTGGGCTCATTTCACCAACACAAAAATATCAGCGATGAGTTGTTTTTTTTGTGATATCGAGTTATACTGTAGTGAAATACTGTATCTGTCTATTTGTGATGTATACGATTTTTCGTCACGCTGTGGAGCAAATGTTTAATAATTTGGTGTATTTATGCTGTTTTTCAGGACGGAGCAACATGTTATCAACCCTCATCGGTCCCATAAGACACTGGGATGCTGGAGCGTCATCAGCTGAGGATGCAGACAGTTCAAGTAAATCTTCTTCCTCCTTGGCCAAGTAACCAACAGACACTGCGTATTATGCCACAAATACTTGTCAAATACTGCAGGTTGGACAGCCTATAGCGTTCCTTTCTGTATGTGAAGGGCTCCATGATCGAGTTAGCATAAATATTCAACATCCAGTTAGACTTTCAACATAAAGCTTGAGTGATCAACGTTGTGATACAGTCGCAGTTTGGTTAGGTTTTAGTTTTCTATCAGATGGATTGCCATGACATTTTGTAGGCATTCATGGTTCTCAGATAGGGGTCAGCCCTATGTTCCCACAGCCCAATGGTCCCACATTTCTATGATTTTTCTTAAAATTATGATTTTTCTTAAAATTAGGCCCTGTGTTCCCACAGCCCTATGTGGTTAGGGTTAGGGGGAGAAAGGGAGATACAATCTGATACAAATTTATGAAAAAGGAAATGTGGGAACATAGGGCCTAATTTTGAAAAAACAACAACATAGAAATGTGGGAACATAGGGCTGTGGGAACATATGGCTGTGGGAACATAGACATACTCCCCTCAGATGATGAATTGGAGATCTCACCGTGAGGTTCACATTTGTGACTCCACTCCAATCTTGTAAAGTCGTTCATTTTCCCCTCAGAATGACTTTTCATCGAGCACCAAGTTTCAGTCAGTGCATTTACAGCTGTCTCCAGTAAGCACATTTCTTAACTGTCATACAAATTAGAAACCTGGTTTCTATGATTTAGGTTGGGTTTCACAGAAACCCTCATCTGTGTTTAATCATCTGGAAATAAAAATGATACATTTTTATCTACTGAGGGTCATTTTCTACAACACACTGGTCCTGTAAGTGCATGTAAACACTATATTTGTCCAGTACTCTGGTTAATGACCAAATGCCTGCGAAACTAATGACTTAAATTCTTATCAGCCTCAGCTGTACTTTGTGTTAAGTGCTAATTAGCAAATGTTAACTTAACATCAACCTTGTTATTGTGAGATTGTTAGCATTTAGCTCAAAGCACCTCTGTACTTAAGTACAGTCTCAGAAGGCTGCTAAGGGCTCATCTCGTTTCTTGTGTTACATGTTTGGCTACTCACGCTTACAAAATGCATTGTGATTCTAAAACTTTCATGTTGTGTTTCTGCAGGTACTAGCAGTTTGGAGGTGAATGAGAATCAGGATGATAAAATCCAGATGGACTGTGACCTCCTACGAAAGTATCATCCATCAACTTTTTGCACAACTTTCCCCATCCACGGCCCAAGAGCTCTGAAGAGGAAGCAGCCGCTGTTGGATGGAAAAGACCGGCTGCTCTACCAAAGCCACTTAACTTGTAAAAGAGCCGCCTGGGCTGTCACTCAGAAGAACGCGCTGGTGCAGTTGAACGAGTTACGACCCGGTCTGCGATACGAGATCATGTCAAAGACTGGCCCACTGCATGCTCCAGTGTTTTCTGTAGGTGTGGAGGTAAATGGTTTCCGCTTTGAGGGCCGAGGATCCACAAAAAAGCAGGCCAAGATGAGGGCCGCAGAACTCGCTCTGCGGTCATTCATCCAGTTCCCAAACGCCTCCCAGGCTCACGCCACCATGGGGAACTTCACCAGCACTCCTACGGATTTCACAGCGGATAAACTGGACATCCCCGACACATTCCTCAAAGAGTTTGAGCCATCGTTGCGTGAAAACTGCGATCTACTGCACTGCAACACAGCAAAAAACGAGGTTTTCTCCAGCATTTACAACCACAGAAGACTTGTCCGACTCACACTGGACTTGGTCTCCTCGACAAACCCAAAAAGACGAGCCCTTAGCACCTCGCTTCTAGAGCACCTCAGCCCAGTGGTGCTGCTCAATGAGCTGCGACCAGGACTCAGGTACATGTGCCTGACAGAGAGAGTTCATGGCAGGCCAATGAGGAGTTTTGTTATGGTGGTTCGGGTGGAGGGGAGGGTGTTTGAAGGGTGTGGGCACAGTAAGAGGCTGGCCAAGGCCCAGGCAGCAGCAGCCGTCCTACAGTGTATTTACAACATAAGTGTGGGACCGGAGAGGAAGTTCACGGGCCTCCAGGGCAGCAGAGCAAAAAATCAGCTACCTCAGGTGAGTAGGTCAGTCCTCTGTTATCACCACACAGTGTATAGAGTTAAAGATGTCTGTTTTTTTTAGAAAGAAGGCACACTGCATTTGGCATGAGTGGATTGTTAGTTGCCAGAGAGGCTTCACAGCAAGAAAGTTAATGGTTCAGAAGGAAAATATAGTTCAATATGGTGAAAGAGGCCAGACAGTGACTCCTACTTACTTTGGTGATCAGTTTACTTTTCATTAAGCACCACCATCAGATTAAGATTAACAACCTGCAAAACTGATGACATTCACCATCAGCCTCAGCTGTGGATTATAAAGGACACAATTCTTGCACAAAAAAGTTAATTTTATAATAAATACATTCCATTTGAATAATTTTCTGTCTAGAAAATTTAATTTCTTTCAGGTTCTGAAGGGTTAAAATAATATAATAGTATCAACAATACAGAAAAACCTTAAAACTAGAGACCATAATATAACTACTGCACATATAAATTGCCACCTGACCCATTAGTAGACGAATGGTCAGCATCCTCAGATTTGGCGTATCAGCAAATGTCCTTCACGCGTTAAAGACACATTTCCCACACAGAGACATTAGTGGTGACACGTCAGCTTCAAGCACTGAATTCGCCCGTTATCTCTTAAGCTTTTTGCCAGTCTTCTAAATGGTCTGGATAAATGGGTCCGAGGTGCGCCGTGTGCCACCAAATGGAGTGTGCCGCACATCAGCATGACCATCATGTCCTGAGGCCATGAGAGCCGGATGGTGTCCTGTACGCTCGTCTGTAGCATCTAAACAACTTCATTATGTCTTAGAGCCTCCGAGAATTGTCCGCTACGTCTTTTGCTGTCGTTCTTTATGAATACAAGAAGATTTGTGTCCCGAGATCGGCTCCACGGAGCTGAAGGTGGCGACTGAACATGCAGAACCACACCGTCACCCAAAATGTGCAGAGGAATACGGAGCCTTTAAAAGAGACATGTATATACTTTATTAAACCCTGGGGGAGATTTGATGTGAGGATCCATAGACAGGGAGGATGCAGAGGGTACATTTTGGATGCATTTTGACGCTCTGAATTCGAACAAAAGGGTGATTTTTTTTTTACCCCGCTTTAGGCCAACACACCAGAACTTAACAATTTGCAGAAGCTTCCCTCCCCCTCTTTGTCTAGAAGACCATTTTTTTTCACGGCCTCCCCCAACTGATCATTTAGCATCATCTCCCCTTCAATATGAACTGTCTGTCAGGCGGCGTGACGCATTAATGAACATTATTATAGCACATTAGGGATGAAGGAGGAGCGGCAGCACACCAAGGAGATTGAGGTGGAGCGAGAAGGCGGTGTGAAGAGCATAATAATCTGACAGATAATTGTTTAACACACTCATTACACACGACCTTGTGCCACTGTCATCCAGAAAACGTTGAGCCAGAGAGTTTCGCTCCAAAGAAACACCTGCTCTTTACAAAATGAGTGAGTTAAACACAGAGGTCATGTCCACATTTCTGGGAGTTTGGAGTAATTAATGACATTCAAAGTTTAAATTCTACACATATTTTACACATGTTGGGTTTTTTAAAGCAGATACGCTCAGTGTGACATGTTATTTTTGACATTTTTGACTAGGAAGTGCTCCGAATTTTACAAAAATCTGACCTTTTTTAAATCTAAAGTACAGTGTGAGGGATTGGGAAGGAAACTTTCTTCTACAGCAGACTGAGAAACATCAAATTTATATTTATTTAACAGCACTAATTAGATCAGTTTCCCCCACACAGCACCAGGATCAAGTTGGTCATGTAAATGTTATATAGTCATAGTGACTGGTCAGAAGGTGTTGGTCTTAAAGGGGGTGTAACAAGATTGTATAACATTTAGGAGCATCTATTGGCAGAAATGGAAAATAATATTCATAAGTATGTTTTCATTAGTGTGTCAGAATCTCTTGTCTATTTATACGTTTCAATCTGATCTGGTTTAATACTTCTGTGTTTCTACAGTAGCCCAGAACGGACAAACCAAACACTGGCTGTAGATAAGGCTTTTTCACACTCTTCACAGCCAGTTCTCATTCCGAGGTTGTTAATACTGACGCGAGCAGTGTTCAGTTGGTTGCAACTTCACCTCTAGATGCCGCAAAGTCAAACTGATCTGGATACATTTACATACACTTGGATACTATTAAGTCTCTACAAATACTGATTATTTTAGTCCAGTATTAGTAGGTAACTTTCAGAAAAATTACGTTTTGCCATATTTGCTAAAACTTTCACTATATATATATATATATATATATATACAGTTACTAATACTGTTACAGTTACTAATATATATATATATATATATATATATATATACTGTATATATATCAGATCTATTGATTCTTCTGGGTCCTCCTTGTGCTCCTGATGGTATCTGCAAGTGGATTCTTGTGTAAAAACAACCAATCAGAGCCGAGAAAGATAATTGATTGTTGAGTCTCACCTGTCCCAAGTCGTGAAATACCAAGGTTGCGAGGGTAATCTGATACAGTTACTAATTACCTGTTGAAAAATGTAGTCCCTAACCCTAACCTAAGAAAACAAAAGAAATACCAGTAAGATGACTTTTACATATTCTATAAAACAACAGAGAAAAGATAAAAACTTGCTTTTCATTAAGTAAATTCAGGCAGTAGCAATATTTTCACAGCTAAAAGGTTTGAATTTGCACTATTTCTGCTTTAAAAACCAAATAATGGTCAAATTTCCACCCAGTAAAAGCATTATTTATCACTAGAAGCCGTGAAAATGAACTGGCAACTGTAGGATTCACTTTTATAGTAACCTGTACACGTAAATGGATTACAGTTGCTTGTTTTGGTTATCACAAACAGTAACGGTGAACGTTTGCTGATTTAAGATGCAGTCAACGTGTTAAAGTTACGTGTGGTTCCAGTAGAAATATAATTTGCCCTACTCATTAACCTTAAACTAGACAACAGTCACAAATCTCCTAAAATTATCTTCAACTTTACTCCTTGTGTCATTAAAGCTGCATAAAATCTGACATCCAAATCATTTTAATGAGTGCAGCAAGTTGTTTTAAACTTTACACGATCAGTGGGAAGTCTAGTTTACCCAAATGTATTAAAGGTGAATTATTTGCAGCTACTGTGGCTGTCAAACATTTCATCTTCCTTCCTCCAAACTGAGCAAAAAGGGGATTGATGGAGTGAGATCTTCAGCTGATATCGATGATCTTGTCAGAAGTGCCACTGGTCCTCCTTCCGATTAACTCTCCTCGCAGTTGTGTTGTTTCTTGGCATTTGCTGAACTTTTGCAGCATCTAGCCGTTAACTGTAACTTCGTGACGTCTGCCAAAAGAGTGACAGTCCTCCTAAAAATATAATTAGGACATATTTTGACAAGTGGGAGTGCGACACTTCTTCCTCCGCAGAGTTTTCGAGTGAGAAAAAGTCTCGGACATCATTGACAGACTGTCAAGAGATTTTTTGGGTGAGCTCGTACTCGAGGTCCAGGCGAATGTCACAGCTGTTAGTGCATCTCTGCACACTTTATTTGAAGGTTTCTGTGTGTCTTCAGTGGCTGTTGTCTGTGGGAAATAAGACAGCAGAAGTCACAATATCCTCAGGTTTAAATATAACCAACTCTAGCCAACTGTTTGTAAGTGTAGGAACATTAAAGAGTAATAGGGTTTATAGTAAATAGAGATTTTATATAAGAAGTAACTGTCTTTTGCTTTCTTTGACATTTGTAAATATTGTGTTAAAATGGTTCTGATGAACAGTTTTAGCATTTTATTTTTGGTATTTTGGATATAAAAAAACGTTTTAATATGTTAATTATCTCGCTTGTGTTTTAGGATATTTCTCTTTTGGGGTTGTTTTTCGTCTCATTCTAAGGTAACAAAAACTAAACGATTCCTATAATCATGTTATTACACACAAATAAAAAATAAAATAGACCTATAAATATTATGTCCTTAATGTTTTACTGGACCTTTAAAGAATCAACATACAAGGGTGATGGATGGCACAAAGTGAAGAAACCAGAACCCAAAAACATCTGAAACAAAAGAGATTTTGTTGGTATTTATTAAATAAAATGCAAGAAAGAAAGCATTCTGTGAGCGTTCACTCACACTTTATTGTGAATTTATGGGAGTTTGTTCCCGGCTGGTAACACACTGAAAAAAAGATGTATTATAACGGTAACAAGTAGTTTAATTTATTTTATAATTAGTTTCAGAAACTTTGCAGCAAAGAAGACGACCCAGAAAGAGCAAGTTGAAGTTTAAAGGTTGAAAATAGATGGATAGATAAATCCGTCTTGGTTGTTGAGAGAGGAAGTGTGTTTAACTTTAACTTACTGCAGGATATTCCCTTTGGGATCAAAGGTCAAGTTAAAGCAAGCCAGTGTGCAATCAGTTTCTACAAAGACGCTGCGGGAGGTGAAAGGGATAATTGCATGCCGTTGTTGTTCTGAAAACAACAGGACGTGTAGTTTGGCTGCTGATTTGGCCTCATATGAACAGCTGGAGCAGCAGCAGTGGCTGTTCGCACACAGCGCATCAAGGCTGTGGAGGTACTTGGCACAATTAGCTCCCCAATTAGCGCCAAAATCTTAACTGAGTCGGATCTGAACTCGTGTTGAGCTTCAGTGTGACTTCCTCATTCCTCTGATGTCCATAGAAAAAGGTGCTCCAGAACTTGCCACGAGAATCATCATGTTTTTAAGTTTTCCAGTGAGAGTTGTCCGTACATCTGTGGGTACACTGCTAACAGGAGCTGCTAATAGCTAATTCAGCATCATTTTAATGGTGCAAAATGGCAAAAATGTAAAAGAAATAATGGCTAAAAAAAAGTTCTTGACAATACACGACAGCATTAGCTCACAAACGGTGGTACACCTTTTTCCCAGCAGTTGTTTTGACATGAAATAGTAGGGTAAAGTGTTACCAATGACACTAACAAAGGCTTTGTTTCATTTAGTGTAGCCAAGCCTTTTTCCAGTGAGCCAACATATTTATCAGAATCACTGGTAACTCCTGTGTTTTTTTTTACTATTTCATGTCAAAATGGCTGCTGTGAAAAAGGTCTATTGACTACGAACTGTGAAAATGAATTTGGCCACAGCAAAGGAATTACATTTTTCCAGGAAAACGTAGATTATTTCCAGGATATTTGGTCATTTTAATCAATTTCCAGGTGTTTCCACGACTGTAAAACTAGTCTCTACATTTCCAGGTGTTCCAGGACTTATGGGAACTCTGTCTCCATGGCAACATTATACTTCCTGTTTACATGTCAGACAAAAGAGTAATAACATGAGACAAAATCACTGTAGTTAGAGTGATAATAAATACATCTCATAATAAGCAATAAACTTACACAGAAGTCAAATAAAAGGAGGAAAGAACCGACTTTAAACGCCGTCTCTGTTTCTTCTGCAGTTCTTTGCGGAGTCGATCTTCCACCTGGTGAGAGAGAAATACGCAGAGCTGACGGACAGCTGTTTCTCTACCTCGCACGCCCGTCACAAGGTCCTGGCGGGGATCGTGATGACCAGAGGTGAGTGCTGGAGACGATGACAGAGGGCTGGATGCTGAGAGAGGGAACCGTCAATGTTTAGGTAACCATGGTTACCAGGCGGCCAGGGTCTAGATGGATTTTGAATTTAATCAATACCTGTTTTTCTGACAGTGCTTTCATCGATGGGTTCTGTTTTTTGAAGGAGGAAGTTATTTAACATCCGGGCTCCAGGACTACAACTGGATGATATTTCAATGTTCATAACTGGGTTCTGCTCCCTTCAAGTGCCCAAAAATATTATTAAAAGTTATTAAAAGTGAGCATAATCAGGTGTATAGAAACACACTTAGGCTGTGTTACAAATCTCATACTAACGTACTCCCTACTGATTAAGTATGCCGACTGTTCACACTGGAGTATTTTCAAACATTCTCTGTATCAAATCAACATTTCCTCTGACAATCAATGTAATATTTTACAGGATTATCTTTAGACATATTAAGAGGGCCCCAAAGGCTACTGTTTGTGGTTCGGGTTTGATTAATAGAACAATAATTAAGGTTAATATCACAGATGGAGCGGGCTGTATTAGCAGCTATTGTCTGTATATTTTACTGAGGAGCAGAAAAGGAGGTTGTTGAATTGAGGAGGAGGAGGAGGAGGGTGGTGCTATCTTAGTGTTTGTCTCTGTAAGTTATCTTAGAAAGTTTACAGTGCTAACAGTAGCCAAAAATGTCTGTGAGGCTGTGGGGGGTTGATTAATGTGAGAGGACTTACTGGAGAGAAAGGCTTCCTAGCTGCCCCCGCTGGTTCTTCTGGAGCTTCTCAACTCCAAAAATGTTTGAGCACTTTTTCAATTTATCAGCAATTTTCATAAAACTGCCGATATTTGCAATCGACACAGTTGATTTCCCGATTAAGAAATTCTCTGAAGTGAATTTTGTGATGAAGTAACGCATAAAAATAGGAAATAAATGGCTAAACCTGTCACAAAAACCACATTTAAGGCGGTTGAGTACAGGTTGACATGATACTTATAAAGTATAAATAGTACGTCAGTGTGTGATTTCAAACACATTGTGACTGTTGTTACGACCCACTTTCACAAACCAGCCAATCAGAATACAACATGAAATGATGCAGAGTTCACTAGTGTCATGCTAAAGCTAAAAAACATATTCAAACATCACTTTTCAAAATCTTTTTTTCCATAGCCACGACCAGCTTCACGCTCTCCTCTTCCTCCTTATTTCAGGTTTTTGGAAAGCGTAGAAGTTCCAGTCTTGTGTGTTAAGTTAATAAGAATTTATGACTCTAAGATTTATAATCTGACAAGGTGACGACATTAATAGACCTAAATACTGTGCAGTCTGATCCCAGTATAACCAAACTCGTCCTAAAATCCTAGTTGTGTCCTCTTTATTTACACAAAAACACTTAATTCTCATTTTTCAGCCACATTCAATCCATGAAGGTCCTTTATGACATATCCTAACTAGACTATCATCCAACTCCTGAGTTTGGACACATCTTCTGACTCTGAAAAAAGATGTTAAAATACAACCCCTGCTGTTCAAATAAAAACAGGGGGGATGAAAATGTTTTGCCGCTCTTCATTCAGAGCGCACGGGAGCATCTCTCACATAAAAATGTATCACTGCAATTCAAACAAACAAGTCACCTCACATTACCCCTGCTCGGATCCAGAGCGGAGGCAGTCTTATTTACCGTCCCGTGAATCTTTGATGAGGCCAGATTGCAGCTCCGCCGCCTGTTTTTTTGACGCGTTGATCTGAGCGATTGTTCAGTCATGCACTTTTCATTAGCTCGTCGCAGCCTGTTAATGTTATGGTAGTGATGAGACACCGAGGCGGAGGAGAGTAGAGAGGAGATGTCTTGTTTATTCCTGTTCTCAAAGTCATATCAGGCGTCTTGTTTGAACTTGCATCATGTTGAATGTCTCGTTCCATCAGAGGCTCAATCGTTCTGTGCTCAACATGCCACCAGAAACCTGTTAGCTGTTACAGATTCACTCTCATTTTACTGTCTTGTCTTTTTTCCAGGGTTTGACCTCAGATCAGCCCAGGTTGTGTCTCTGGCCACCGGCACTAAGTGTCTGGACTCGGACAACGTGAGCGACTACGGCGGTACGCTCAGCGACTGCCACGCTGAAGTCGTCAGCCGGAGGGCGCTGGTTCGTTTCCTGTACGCTCAGCTGGAGCTGCTGCTCTGGTACGACTTTTATGGTTTGGTTTTTCTTCGCTGTCCAGTGTCGGCGGGGAATTTGCCTTCAGATTTGTTTTTAAAAGCTTTCATTTAAAGTACAAAGCTGCTTTAATGATGCCTTGTCCTAAATCTAATTAAAAACAAAACCAACAGATTTAGTCAGTTTGTCAATACTTTCCGACTTCCTGTTTGTGGCTCTCGGCTCGAAACCCATTGGTTCCTATTGAAGACGTAAATCTTGAAAAACACAAATATCACTTTTTAAAAAGGTTCCGCAATTTCCTAAATAAGCTGCTCTCTTTAGTTTTTAGTTTTTATTCAAACAGGAGAAAATAGTGCATTTGCGTGGGGACTATTTCCAGTGGCGGTTGAATCCACATTCGGTGCTCTAGTGAGTATTTGGTGCAGCAGGATGGTGTATTTGTTCATGGTGATGAAGGAACATGTCTCACAGTGCAACAGTGTGGCTCATTGATGCGTTTTTAATAGTTTTTAGATGGTGGAGCTCTGGCACAGAGGCACAGAGGAAGAAAATCTATCAGGCCCTTATACACAGATAATACTTTAGTTAGTAAATACATTAATTGTTAATCTGATTTGTTGACAGAAAAAATAGTATGATAAAAGTATCACCAAACTAATGACAAACAAGTCAATCTGGTCACTAAGGCTGTGTATTGGCAAGAATATGGCGATACGTATCACGATACAATTCAATATATTGCGATAATTATGATACCATAAACTAGGTAAGTCATCTGCCACCATATTAGTTATTTAAAAGGATTTCTGTATTTGTGTTGTGAAGGCTCTCTTGGGAAAAGGTTATGTCAGGTATCAAAATTGAGAATGTGAGAATCAGGTAACAGTTGCTGGTGTTGTCAATGAAATCTGATCAAGTCACATCCGCAGTAGATTCTCGGAATATTTGACTGTTAAACTTAATTTCTAACATGACTTATTATTTATTGTTGCCATTTAGTCACAACTAATGTCACAGAGAACTAAATATGTTTTCTTTAATATTTTAATCCCAATACCTTTATCTGCAAGGGTTGTTTAGCTTGTCAATAAATACAAACCGACAGATTAAAATCTATAAAAATATGCAGTTTCCCAGATGGATCAATAGTTTATTTTACCAGAATTGTTTTGTTTCTTTCACTTTGTTTCTGTCTCATGTTGGACTTTTCTTTCCTTTCTGAAGTAAGTCAGCAGACTGCGAGGAACAATCCATCTTCGTACCAAATAAAGGCGGTGTTGGCGGCGGTGGCGGCGGCATCTTCCGACTGCGGGAGGGCATCCTCTTCCACATGTACGTCAGCTCGTCGCCGTGTGGAGACGCTCGACTCAACTGCCCGTACGAGACCACAGCTGCATGTGAGACAAACATATTCAGATGGTGATAACGATGACATACTCTAGTGTCGTAAATATGATAAATATATACCTGATCACTTTGTTGTAGATATATACTATAATATCTTTAATATCTGATCTGTTCTTAGCTGCTGCTGCACAAACCCACTAACCTCAGTGTCATTTATTTTTAAAGGTAAAGTCCACCATAAAACACTTACACTCTGTGAAAACGTTAAGTAATAAATACCTGAACTTGTGGCTTCATTCAGCAGCTACGTCTGTTTCCTCTGCCCGTTAGTGACTGAATAAAATGTCATCTACAATATGTTTATATGTTTTCTGCTGCAGAAATTAAGCATCAGTTTTTAGCGTCAGATTGTGTCCAAACAAGCATCCTTACTTCTCACCTCCACCTCCTAGTAAGTCCGGGTACGAACCGCTGAGCACCTGCGTAATGCTTGATTTTACTTACTTTTCCGTCCTTCTCTGCCTCTGACTGTCTAGTGTTTGTTGCTGTCGTTGGTTAAGGTTTAAACATGAGGAGGGAGATGAAAAAAATGTCAGGTTCAATCAGAGGCAGAGTAGAGGAGGAATACAGGTGGCAAAGGAGTAACGCCCGCGTAACTGCATCTGTGGGAACATGCAACTAGCTTAACGCTGAGAAAACGTCACTGGCAGCTTTTTTTGGTCGACTTGAGGCATTGAGCAAAAGTGTTGAACTTATGGTGGCACTAGATGAAAAGTCAGGGGATCACCAAAGTCTGCAAGATTCATCTTCTGGGGACCATCTGTGCAAAGTTTCATCCATCTGTAGGAGCTGTGCATTGATTAGTGTTCCTTCAACAGGAATGTATCACGTGATCAGAGAACGTGGCTGTGTCATTTATTTTATTCATTTTTGTGTTAAAACTAATTGTAAGTGACGGACTTCCACTTAAGAACACATGTAAGAAAATAAACATCCTTGTTCTGCAACATATTGGTAAAGACTTTACACGTTTTAAACAATTAGCCCGATTAGCAGATAGTAACTGCAGCTGAGCAGTGACAGCAGGGGAAGGGAGAGTATTAATTATTATTTATTAGTTAGTATTTTTCTTTTTGCGTCAGATCCCAGCAGGCGGTTCCACTGTCACCTCAGGGTGAAGGTGGACGGAGGCGAGGGGACGCTGCCGATCACCGCACGAAGAGCCAATCAGAAATGGGACGGCGTGGCGGCGGGCAAACCTCTCGTCACCATGTCCTGCACCGACAAGATGGCAAAGTGAGTTTCTAATCAGCCCTGGAAGGTGTGTCCTGATATTTAATAATGTCTTTAGTTTTAGGCATTTCAGTTAATTTATACTTAAAGGTCCAGTGTGAAACATTCAGGAGGATCTATTGACAGTAATTGAATATAATATTTATAGGTATGTTTTATTAGATCAGCTGAACGTTTGTGGTTTATTGTACGTGGAAGTTGCCAATCTGCAGCAATTAGTTTTTTCAATTTTATCACTACCTAAAAACAACCCAAAACCAGCACAGTTTCACGGCTGCTTCAGTCTCTCATCACCACTCTCTCTTCTCTTTCCTTCCTTTCCCACTTCTCACCCAGTTGGTTTTTCCAGGGACAGTACAGATGTGTTTTCAATTATCGGTTGTTCACTCAGTTCAGGCAGGAGGGTAAACAGCTTGGTGCGGTCCTAGAACAGGTCGAACAGCCGGTCAAACCTTAATGGCCCTGAGTGATAAATCTCCTTAGCTGAAAAGCTGTCAGAAAAAACTCTGCTCTCAGTTTTTTTTAAAAACTTGTTGTCTCAACAGTGTAGCGTTGTGGGCCTCCAGGGGGCTCTCCTGTCTCCACCTGTGGAGCCGGTTTACCTGCACAGCCCTGACGGTGGGTTGGACGCTCAGCCACACGGGTCACTGGAGCCGGCCCGTATCCACCGTCCGTCCGCGCCGTCAATGCCTCTGCCCTTCCCCCGTACCCCGACGACAGCAGCTGCGTGCTTCGCTTGTATAGGATCCAAAGGTGCACCTCCTGGAATTGTTTTACACATACTAAAATATTAATCATCTTTAGCAATCAGGTCTGGTCCGGGGTTTATGGTGTGTTTCTGGTTCATCTTTCAGATAAATGAAAGGACAACTGATGCAGTGGAGATTTACTTGAATAATCAAAACAAACCAAAATAACTAAACTAAATAGCTAAAATATATAAGTTTAAAAAATGAATGTGATCATTGCAGATTATCACCTTAAAGGACCAGTGTGTAGGATTTAAGTGGCCATCTTAGTGGTGCAGTTGCGGTTTGCAACTAATTGAACACTGCTCGCGTTTGTATTTGACAACCTGGAAATGAGAATGTGTGTGTAGGAGAGACTTCAGGTGTTTGGTTTGTCCATTCTGGGCTACTGTAGAAGTTGTAGTAGTGAAAGAATATCCTCCTGTGTGGTTTCCTCTCCGACTGCGCAGGTCTGAGCAGTAGTGATATCCGGCCGGCAGGGAAGGCGCCGAACACCAGCGTGAACTGGAGCTGCGGCGACGGAGGCCTGGAGGAGATCAGCACCTGCACAGGAAGGAGGCAGGAATCAAGGACGCCGTCGAGGCTATGCAGGCGCTCCGTGTACGCCCGCTGGCAGAGGCTGCGGCAGCAGGTGAGTCAGAGACGGGAAACACTGAACCTCGACAGGAGAAACTTATTCACAGTGTCACATCAAAGGGGCATTACACCAATAAAAGATGAGCAAATGAGTCGAACTGTCTTGGAGCTCAGTCTCAGATGTGAACCACCACAATAGTAATGGTGTTTTTAAAAGCAGGGTTTAATTTCCACTGTGAATTAAAATATGTATGCAGAGAGGGTTGTGCTGAACCGAGTGATCTTGGTGTAAAAGTTTGATGACGGCACGCAGGAGTCGTAATTATTTACAGAAGCAACTGGACTCATTGTAAGAAAGAAGCTGCTCTGAATATCACATGGAGGGGGAAGACACTGGTTTGAAAAAGATTTTAAAACGTGCACGGAGGGAAACGAAACGAATGAGGGGCAGAGAAACATCGAGTTAGATAATGACACAGTATTTTAAAGATTCAATGACTTGAAAAAGAATTAAATGAAGTGAGGGGGAATGAGAGAGAAGGACTACAAATTAAAGACAAAGAGAGACAGAGAGAGAACAGGAACAAAAACCTGGATATTCTGTAGATCAGTGGGAACAGATTTACTGCTTTCTACATCCAAAATCCAAAACACAATGATTCCTATATTCAGGTGATTATACACTAATGGAAACATATCCTCCTAGATGTTACACATTGGACCTTTAAATTAGGAGGATTTATTGGCAGAAATTGAATATAATTTGTGTATACTCACCTCAAAACAAAAATCATTGTGTTTTTGTTACCTTAGAATGAGCTGTTTTCATCTACAAAGGGAGCCATGTTTTTACATTTTTTGACTCTAGATAGGCCACCGTAGTTTGATGATCTGTATTCAAATGGTTGCAATCTGCAACTTCACCACTAGATGGCACTAAACCCCACAGACTGGCCCTATAAGACATAAACATACTCAATATACTCTATAATTATTTATGTTTGATGTTTCTTTCCACAAAAAAATTAATTACCTCATTAAATATTCTATGAAAAATCCAGAATAAATTAAAAACATTTTTTTTTTTTTTTTTTTTAAATTTAAAAACTACTACGATCTACAACACTTAAATGTCCATTCTCAGTGTTTGTGCACTGGAGGCTTTGAGTTTCCACATCAAATACACGTAAATACAGGTTTTAACCTGAGATTTAAGGTGAGCACAGTGAAAGTATATTAATGTGGAAACAGCTTTCTAGTGCCAAACTTTGCACAGTGAAGCTTATAAATCCCAAATTGAAGAAACAAGAAGTAAAATATGTTTAGAAAACACAGCAGAGGAAGAGGGAGTCAGTCTGGAGAGGTTTAATAGACCTTTCTCACTGCTGACATCCTAACTCGTCAAACACAGGTGTGACCAATAGTTTCAGTTCCAGGTCCCGGCTGCTGAATTACCGGTGAGCTGTACAGGGAAAGTTAAGGCTTAATGTTATTAGTCACACCTGTGCTTTTTCTGCATTGACAAGTCAAAATGTCTGCCAAAAAAAAAGCAGTTTCCATGGGACAGGTGTCATTTTGAAAAGTACAACAGATGATTGGCAAATGTTATTTTTAGCTGAGAATTCAACACGAACCCTTCTTATAGACAACCATTTCAAATTGCCGCAAAATATCTTCTTAATTATCCACAAATCTGACTTTATTTGTGTATTTTGGTTGTTATATTATGATAGAGAATCATGTTTCTGTCTTTATTTCCCAGTTGAACGGTGCAGAAGCCACTCCAGGGACATATTCTGGTTCGAAGATGGCTGCCGGACGCTACCAAAGGGCGATGCAGCAGTTTATTAACGCTCTGCAGGGTGGAGGGTTGGGAACGTGGCTCAGAAAACCTCCAGAACTGGGTCACTTCAAAGTCAGTGTGTGAAAAACTGTGTGTTAAAGTGTAACTAAACCCCTGAAATCCTGCTAAAAAATGCATAATATAGCTGCCTTGTGGCTTATAGGGTGTTTGATGTGGGAGGTAAAGGTCAACCAGAAAAACAGACTGATTACCGCTCAGTGTAGCAGGAATACAGCGGCTTTGATTGTCACTAGAAGCACATTCGTGGCTGTTTGTGTGTGCTAACTGTGTGATAACGTTAGCTAATCTAGCAGCTCAAAGAGGCTAACTCTGTGGTGTCGGGCCGCAGTCTGCAGAGGGGAGACGCTTTTGTTTTGACAATAGCCGTGTTTCCACCAGCAGACGGCGATCCGTGTGCATATTCAATATTTAGAATTCAAATACTTTGCACTAAAATGACAGTATTTGGATGTGAATCAATCAACAATATCCCTAAATACGAACATACAGAGGTTTTGAGTCGGGGGTTTAGTTACTCTTTAAAGGCTGAATATGAATTAGAGTGAACTTCTTGTATATTTTTGTTTGTGAGGATGTGGATGAGGCACAAAGAATAGAGAATTGAGAAGAAGGATGGGATTTTGGAGCGACACGGGACAGACGAGTAAATAATCAATTATGCAACTGAGCACAGCGCATACAGAAGAGTCAATTTAAGCAAAAGCTGAAGTATACTTCTTAGTGTGTAACGTTTGCTTAAGTAGCTAGTAAGTAAACGCTGCTAAATTCAGCTCAGGACGCTAATGCTAGCTCGTCTGGCTTGCTTAAACATTAACAAGTACGTCGCTGAAACCACTTAGCTAGCCTGCTAGCTCACTGGAGTAACGTTGAAAATATTTTCCATAAGTTTAAGTAAGAAATGTACAATTTTAGAGTAAAAATCTAACTTGTTAAATTGCAAATAAAGAGTGGAGCTGGATATAAATTTGGGTTGAGCAATAATATTGCAGCCGCGTGATACTATAGATACGATATATACAAAAAAGCCAATTAAATACAGAACGCAATCAATTCAGCTAATTAAGATGAATTAATTACAATTCAAATGCATTGTATTTAGTTTTATATGTTAAAGAGCGCACACATTTTAACACAGTTTTAAAAAAAGCTGATGAAGGCTTAATTTAAAATGATCTGCTGTGACTACAAGGCTAGCCATGGGGCGAATGATGGAATAATTCAACTCCCAGTTGAGAATAAAGGGAGATTCTCCACCTCATTTTCTTTTATGAAACATGGCACGAACGCCACAGGAAACAGACACACTCGATTTGATGTTGTTAATGTGACTGGAGGGAATTAGATACCCAAAGATAAAGCAGTTGGACGCATTCATCCCATTTTTATCTCATGTGTTTATGTTTTTATTTATATACGTCAAAATGTCGTCATTTATAAATAAATAAACGGCACATTACAACAGCAGATACACGCTTAGGACAGTGGTTCCCAACCTAGGGGTCGGGTCTTCATTGTAAAGAAATACACAGTAGGCCTATATCTCAATATTTCATTTATTTCTGTGAGGAAAACTAAATAAAATAGTTATTTTTAAGGTTATTATTTAAGATCTAAACTTTGAAGACCTGAACACAAACAGTATTTTAAAAAAAAAACACCTATTAAGTTTATACGATTGTTAAAAATGATAACAAAATACACATGTAGCTCAGGTGGTAGAGCCACTAATCAGAAGGTTTGTGGTTCGATCCCCGGCTCCTCCCACTGCATGTCGAAGTGTCCTTGAGCAAGAAACTGAACCCCAGATTGCTCCTGATGTCCGTCTCCATTTTTCTGATGAGCAGCTGGTACCTCACAATCTGTATGAATGTGTGTGAATAGGTGAGTGAGACATGGAGTGTCAATATTCAGAGGAAATAATCTGCTCAAAATCACTAGTTTTACACAAACTTCCTGCAGTTAGTGTTCACTGTTTGGGTTTAATGTTTAGTTTATCAGCTGTTCTCTACTGTTATTGTTATACATTGAATGTAACATAAAATAAGGCACTCAGTCAGTTTACTGGATGATAGAAAAAGGTTGGGAACCACTGGTTTAGGAGGACATTGAATAGACATACCTCAACAATGTGAGTGTGTGAGAAGATTAATAACTCCTCTAATATTATTATAATATATATAATATAACACAGCTGATGGCTGTGAAGCAAAATTATTTTCATTTAACAACTTTCCTTCCTTGAAAAACACATTTAAATATCATTCGTAGTCATTTTTCTGTGTTTGTTTTGTCTACTTTTAGAAACGTTTTTGTTCTGTGATGTAACTTTATGTCTCACCGGTTTAATTACATTAAAGTTTTTCACCCTCATGCATTTTGAACAGTGTTGTAAAGTATCAGAGTGTAAATGAAGCTCAGGCATGATGGTGCACGCTGCCACCTAGCGGGACATTGTGTGCATTACAACATGTAGAGTCAAAAAGAAAAGTATAGTTGAGTGTTTCCTTTTTGTCCTCTAGATTTCACCTTTTTTTATCCCTTAAAACAATTTATTTAATAATATCCTACAGGTTATTCTTGTGTTGTCTCTTTGGTGTTTATTTAAAGAACTGTTTTCTGGAGATAAGGAATGTAATATAGTACTTCTACTGAATGCCACTGGTTTGAATGCTCTGTAAGCTTTTATTATTAGGTATGCAGAATGGATGTAGTATATATTGGTCATGACTATTTTTATCACTGGGAATAAATTATCTTATTTGTGTTATTTGTGTCTGTGAAAATACTCGCTTCCAGGAGCGTATAGTATCTTTATTTCATGCCTTCAGCCCTTGATGTGCATAAAATTAAAGAACTTTAACTTAGATGATGATTCACAAAATTGTGAACAGTGGATGTCCAAAGTTTATATAATATACAATATGCCTCTAACAGTCTTGTGGGCAGATTTAATGGTGACGAATGTCTTTATTTGAAATAAATTAGTCGGGTTCTAGAGAGCAATGGGAATTTAAAAATGCACTTCTTCGATGTAGATGACCACCAACCAGGATGTCCGCACAGAAAGTGACTTTGAACCAGGTTTTTTGAACCAGACTTTTAAGACGTTTTTAAGACTTATAAATGAAAGCATATGAGGGAAAATCAGTGGTTCCATATTAAGTTTCATTTTGTAACTGTTACAGCACAATCAATACAAATGTTTCCAACAAACATCTGAAAGCAAGACTGAACATTTTTACTTTTCAAGTATTTTCAATTCAGTAAGTCAGATTACTGTATTTTAGACATTTTAAGACTCAGCAGAAAACTTGTGATTGAGAATAAATCCAAACATTATCTTTATAAAACATTCACAAAACACAAAACCACTGTAACACTTAATTTGGACTAATATTAGTTAATTCACCAGTTAGTTTAGTTTTTAATTTTCGTTTAAAATTCAGATAAATTTTTAGTTTCAGGAGTGGGTTCGCCCATTTGAGTTTGGTTTTTATTGTTTAAAAATGTTTTTTACTTTTGAATAATCATGTGTGTACATGACTCACAGTCACGTACATCCAGGTCTCAAACATATAACCAACCAACGCCTCCTCATGCTTCTGTTAACACATTTGACTAAAACTAAAGATATTTATTGTATTTTTGTTTGTCTTATAAGTATTATTTTTTTAAATATTATAACATCGTTTTAGTTTAAGTTAATTAAAATATCTTGCTGTTTAACTGCTAAATGTTCCACTTTCTGGGTGCGTGCGGCGTACAGTCGACAACAATAACACACAACCCAAAAACCACTCAACTAGAAACAGTTCAAACAGCACAGTTGGTTTATTTTGATTCCACAAGCAGACGCTTGTTCCTTATTATTACACAGCTATAATCCACAAAACTGCTGTCAAGTCGATCCAACAGGTTTTCATCTTTTCTTTTTTCTTCTGAGAACTGAGCTGTGGCGTCTGTTGTTTTACATCAACCACACAAAACACTGTTAACACCAAAAGAGCCACAGTTTAACAAGGCTTCAAGACGGTGGATTTAAGATGGCCAACGCTCAGTGACGATGATGTGATCTGATTTTAATGTGCGACTGACAACGTGAACAGTGTGGATCGAACTACTCGGTTAAAACAGGTGAATTATCAACATTGGCAGCAGAGTGGCTCAGTGTTGGTACAAAATGCAAGTCGAGTGCAGTGAAACTTTCCGCAAGGAAGAAAAAAATAACGGATAAAACTCACACATTCACACACACAGCTTTTAAATTCTCTTCACACAAACTAAATGTTTTGTCAGTTAAACCAGGGACGACTTCAACGGTCTCTGGTCACAAGTTGTTTTTTTTAAATATCTCATTGCAGCTGGAGGAAATAAACAGATCTTAAATGTTCCTACAGTGAAAAATATAAACAATCACACCTGATAACTAATATAAATAACTACTAGCAAAACAAACCTGATAAGTATAATACTTTAAAAAAAAATTTATATGAAAGTTGAGTCTTTTGGACCAAGAAACAAAGACATTACATTCACCATCCCTGGTAAAAATGACAAAGTGAACTTGTGTGAGTGTAAAGCCTTCGACAGATGAACTAAAATCATCCATCATGAAGCAATAAAAATGGATTTATACAAAATAAAAACAAATGCAGGATCATCAAGTTATAAAGGCTAATAAAACTGCTGCAGTTGAAATACACTATACAGCCAAACCAACTACTTTCTTCATATATTACAATTTATATGATACAAATGTTATGGTTTTAAAGTGAGAGGTTTTTAACACTTTACATTTGCCTTTTTACAAGTAATCTCTTTAGTTTAGTGAAAAATCGACATTTATTTTATCTTGATGCTGTCAAAGGTCTAATTCATTTCATCAAACATGGTATTTATCATAATAATCAATTTTCTATTGTTAGAAACACATTTCACTCGGCTAATACGCTGCGAAAAGGCAGCTGTAAAGTGTTCACACACATAGAAACTGTGGATATTCATGTTTCTACCCATCATCACGTCAATGTAGTTGCTCCAATGAACACTTTTAGTTACAAACCACCTCGACACGGCTAAAAGCTAGACTCAACAATCAGGTTGAAATAAACTGTGTGCTTGTTCATCGTGTTACCACCGTTAACCGTTGAAGACACACGTACGACATTGGTACGACGGTTGTACAGCAGGCGAAACGTAGAGCCGCCTGTTAACCACAACATTAACCACTTATTTAGACGTCAATCTGGATTCAACACACGGACAGACACACTAGACTTTGTTCTCGTGTTGTAGTGAAATCATGTCAAACACACACACACACACACACACACACACACACACACACATCATTACAGCCTCTCCCATTCACTTGAATGCAGCTTTGGCAGACTATTTTAGTGGCAGTGGGAAAGCAAAGCAGGTGACAGCAAAAACGCATCACGACACTCTTGAGATTTTCACTAGTTTTAAAAGTACCGTAACAAAAAATGACAGAATATTCCCACAACACTAATGACTAAAGGGCACTGCGATTAACTAGAGAAAGAGGTGTTTTTTTTTTTTACAATCATGTCAAGTATTAGTACAACAGCAGGCAGTGCATCACAGGGAAATGTTTCATTCAACATCAGTTGCTAAATATTTCAAATTTGACGCCAGTTTTACATTTTTAATCTATTTTTCCATTATTTTTTTTTTTAATCTGCAAGAAAAAGCCTTCACAAGACAACTCACTCTATCATACTAACTCATACTTTGGAGGACCAGTGTGTAAGATTTAGTTTTTCAAGCGTGTAGGAGGAACTACGGTGGCCACGAAAGGTCCAATCTAGAGCCAGTGTTTGGTTCATTCTACGATAACAAAAACAATAATTCTTATTATCAGATTATATACTGAATAAAAACATACCTGTGAATATAATCTGCCAATAGATCCTCCTAAATGTTACACACTGGACCTTTAAAGGACTCCACAGGCTCAGTTTGGTCCAATGGTCACTTTAGTTATCACAGTGTTAATAGACACGGTATGTTAAAGCAGTTTCATTGGTAGTTTTTTAAATTAAATTTTATCTTAATGGACAAATGAGACAATCTTCTTGAAAACTGGTTAGAATTAGTTTGTAAGATTGAGCTCAGGGTGATAAAAAAGGGAGCCAATAGATGCATTTACTTTAGAGAATAGTCTCACTTATTATTTAAAGTGCACAATTTTAAAATGTTCTATTTAATGAGTCGAGTGATTAAAATTCGCTGCTCTTGTTATATACTTTAATTATTAAGAGACCAGTCGACCAAATTCCCTGAAGCCTTTTTTTGACGCTAAACAAGACCTTTTTTACATTTTCCTGTTTGTGTTTGGAGAAACTTGTTGCTCTTAAGAGACTAAAAGATTTAATTTGCGCACATACAGAAACTCTGAAATCACCTTTCCTCCCTGCACACAGGTCTTAACCCGCCTTTCCATTGCATGGTACGACTCTACTCGACTTTTGGTTTCTCCTGGTTAAACCTGGTACCTATTAACAGTACCTCAGTGCTGTGACAGTGACGGTGAACTCGAGCAGTGCAGAGGAAAACAAGAGCAGTGAAGTTGTTGATCTGGCAGTATATGTACAGTGTAGGTTACAGTGCGTCAACCAATAAAGGCTGCAGCTTCCCAAAGTGAAGCTCTATGTGTTGTATCCCAACTGCTGGAATAACGACGCTGTGATGATCTGCAGTGGAAATCGAAGTAGAGTCGAGTCGTACCGTGCAATGGAAACACGAAATTAGAGGGTAAAACATTTATCAGTTTCTAACAATAAACTGTCAACAGGTCGAGGAGTTTACTCTTTTTTTCATCTACTAGACACACAGTGGCTGGTTTATGGCTTTACAGAAACAAAAACACAGTGAGATCCAGACGCCAAAACTGTGAGCAGAGTGACCAATCACATATAAGTACAGATGTCCTGATACCTTTTTTTTCTTTGTGTATCGGCCGATAATGAGAGCCGATACGTGTGTAAATAGATATATATGTAGTGTATATATTATCGTTTTTGGATAGGCGTACACTACTAAACCTGTATGATTGCTGTCATTGTTGTATGGCCTGGCTCAGGTTTAATCCTTTCTCAGAGTAGGACGGGTCATGACTTCACTATCCTGGGTCAACGAGACACTGTTGTGTAGGAAGTAGCAAGATCTGATCGGTTTGCAGACAAGCGTACTCGCCAATACCAAATATTTTAGACAGGAATTTCCGATAATGGTAATGTCTCCTCTAGCTACGCAAATATCCCCTGCGGCGTTCCTCAGGGGTCTATTCTTGGCCCTTTACTTGGTTAAGTCCAATATTTCTTTCTATTTTATGCTGACGATACAGTATTTTCTACTAGACTCTCTCTCACCTCTGTTACCTAACTCACAGCCTGTCCTGCAGCCTCAAGATCTTGGATGCCCAGAAACTTCCTTACGCTGAACAATGTCAAAACTGAGGTGATGGTGTTTCCCAGAGTTTCCCGTGCACCCATGAGGCCAGAAATCTGTGTGTAATCTCTGATTTGGACACTTAAGACGTATCACCAAATCAGCTACGGGTCAAATTAGGAGTATTACATAATTTCTTTCATTACACAAACTCTCATTCATGCTTCTGTCTCCAGCCATCTGGATTACTGCAACTCATTATTACAGAAAACAATCAACTGCCTCCAACTTGTACAAAATACCGCAGCTAGAGTTCTCACAAGAACTCAAAAATATGAGCACATTTCCTCTATTCTTGCCCCCATTGCACTGGTGTTCAGATTTGATTTAAACATTTTATTGCTCGTTTCTAAATCACTAAGCAACCTCGACCTTTCTTGCATTTGTCCAAATGGGCTCCACAATAATACTTCCATTGGGAATCAGACAAGATTTTTTTTTTTTTTAAATGGTTTAAAATTAGTTTATTTTTCTGCTTTAAGCTTTTACTCATTTATTTTTAAGATTTTCATTCACTATTCACTTCACTAACTATCAATGTTTCTATTTACTGCGTTGGAACTTATTCTAATTTGTAATTGCACCGTGTATTTTCTGTTTTTGAAGCACTTTGTAAACTTGTTTTGAAAAGTGCTATATAAATAAAGATTATCATAATTTTTATTATTAATATTATTATTACTAACATATCCAAACTGAAGAGAGGCCACAACCAGTGTCAGTGCTGGAAGAAAACCCATCCGCACTAGAGAGAAGCCATACTCGTTCAAATTCAGTAGCTTGCACCTCATTTGACCACAGCCCTCCTATAGGACTGTCTTCTATATATATCATGGTCCTGGATGGCTTTTAGACAGAACACTAACATTCAAATCACTTAAAAGTTGTGATTTAAGGAAGTCAAGATGAACCATTTTATAAATCTTTACTTTGATTTATCTAATAAGTTATAACTTATGTTTTAACAGTGATTTATTTGTTGTGAAATTAACTAACATTTAAAAATGTAGATTGGAAATAGTAGTAAAAATGTCACATATAGCTGAAATATAGTGTCTCTGAGTGACTGAATGTTCAGGTTCAGTCTGAAAGCTGCCCAGAATAGTGATATCAGTACAATGCTACTGTTTTCAAACCATTCTAGTCCTAACGAAGCATCACAGCCAGCACAGGAAGTGTTTTACTCATAGTTTTTTTTTTAGGTCACCACAGAAGAGAAATCAGCCAATTTCAGTTCCTTTATCAGCCACCTTCATTCTTCCTACAGAACAGGACCATGAGAGCCCTTTGGGTTACGTGCCAAAGTCTAGCTGTGCTTGGATATTTACAGAAACTGCAAAGGTAACAGCTATTGGTATTAATGCACAGAAAAAGTGCATTACTGTATCACACACAGACTCGAGCTGTGATAAACAAGCAGTCCCTCCAGGATTTTGTGGGCTTTTTTTGGGATTGTTGCAGCCTCAAATGTCTGATTTCACTGCAGATTTTCTATATAAATGCAATTAGTTGTGATTTGTTTTTGTATAATTCGTTAAAAATAAAAGTTAATTTGTTCCAGTGATTTCCAGGTAAGAACTCTCGAAATGCTCCAAGTAACCAAAAAGGCTTCATCAGGATTATGAGGGTAAATGTGAGACCTTTGCGTCGTACGTCTGCATCGTCACAACTACAAAGAATGAAGCTAGTTTGGTGACATATGACAGGAAACTAAATTGATAGGTCTTTTTGGGAAAAGTTAAGGTGATTGGACAAAACTGCAACGTTGTGCAGAACTCAGAGGAATTGGTTGAATTGTTGTGATCACATATTCTTGGAGGGACTGAATAAAACAAGAGCTTCGTTCCAAAATGTGATTCATTTTTTTTTTTTAAACTACTCTGATGAAGTGATTGTAACATTATTATGTGTATTACAGATGTTAAGCCAAAACATTTTGGAATCAAGAGGAAAAATCCACTTTTAAAAACAACAAGCTAACCAAAACTAGCCAAACCCAATTTAGACATTGCATGTCTTGTCAAGTTATTTCCAGAAGCAGAAAAGGTTTGAGAGACTCAAAAAGATTTTAGGGTCAGTTCCTCAGAGTAAGAGTGTGGGCTTCTTTCTCGAGCTGCCATTTTGTACTTCTGCAATCACAGAAATCTGGAAATTTAAGTAAAGCAGAAGCTAAATGGCAAATTATCACAGAATAACTCAGCATCAGACCGCCACCCTGGTCCAAACAATAATCTGCTGTTAGTGGCACAGATTAGATTTTCTGTATTGTAGCTTTAAGCAGATATGTGCTCACTTATCTAACTTCAGTGTCAGCAAAATGCATTTTAGTTTTCAACAAAGAAGAACTTCCCGTGTTAGGTCTTTGTGCTTTTTTTCATCAGTGGTACATGTTTTTTTGTTTTGTTTTGGATGGCGAGGAATCGCTTAAACCCCACCACACAAATGTGTTGTGTGTATATTGGCGTGGTGAGTTAGACAGCGTGACAGATTCAGGCAGCGAGCACATGTCCTTTTTCTTTCCTGCCCCAGTCTGGGGGAGGACAGACCCGTCAAATACTGACCTCCTGTAGACTCAAAAGACAGCTGTTAAAAGTCAAAGTGATCTTCCATCGGTTACAACAACATGTGACAAAGTGTTCACAGACAAAAAGAAGCATGAAACCCTTTTTAACGCCGTCTTTTAAGCCTGCAGGATGTGAGTGTTTGATGCTCCAGAGACAGACTTTGGGGTGGAGTTTCACTGTGAGGAGACAGCGGGAGGAGGTGGAGGTCATTTCTCCTGCAGCAGGGCGGGGATGTTTATGTTCCAGCCGATGGCCTGCCGGTCGAAGCCGCAGGTGAACAGGTTGCAGGAGGCGTTGTCTTCACACCAGGCGGAGCAGCACACCATACGCCGGTGACCCTGAAGCACGACAGACAACACAGCGACTGTTCAACACTGAGGACGAGGACGTGTTGTGTGACATAATGACAATATACAGACCTACGAATACAATATCTTTTGTGCTTTTATTTATGATTATAATTCAAAATTCTTCACTTGACGTGTTTTTCCATTCACGTTTTCATGTTTATGATTGTATTTTGTATTTTAAAGTAAAGCACATTGAGTTTCCATGTAATGAAGTGTGCTCTATAAATGAAACTGCCATTAAACTGAGGAGGACAATGATATTCAATATCTAAGCCATACAATCTATATACAATCTGTGAGGGGCCAAATCGGAGGCACTAGCTACTCAAGCTGACTGACCTGTCTGTTGCTTCGTGGGAGTCGAGCCAGTCGCACCCCGGACATGTCGAACAGCCGGACCTGCCGATTGTCGTGAGGAAGGGCGATGATTCTCTGGTTCACCGACACGCTGATCCTGGACAGAACAACGGCAGGAACGACTCAGGATGAATTTAATGATCATAATTAATCTGCATCTTATCATGAAAATTAAATTACAGCAGATCTAAATCAAAAGATCCTACATTATAATTATTAATACATATGAAATCATGAACAGTTAACTTCCTCTGTGTCACTACCTATTACACATGTATTGCTCAGTTTGTTTACAGCTCACGGACCTGTTGACGGCGGAGTCTGTGCGGATGGTTGCTATGGGCGACCTCATGTTCTTCAGGTCCCACACTTTGACGGTTCGATCGTCGCTCCCAGACACCACGTTGTCTCCCACCGTGAACACAGCAGACGTCACGGTGCTGCCAAAGACCAGAAAACAGGTTTGTTCATACTAAAGATAAATGAAGGAGGGGAACAACTTGAATCTGTTCTGTGGTTGAGATGTTTTGTATCGTCTAGAAATAGTAACAAGTTGTAGATGGGAGTATTTTTTATTTATTTAGCTGAATATTGTTTTATACAGTAGAAGATTGCTTGAAGTTTCTCATGTGTAGCTGTTACAATTAATGTTTATGTTTGTACCCTATGGTGCAAATTAAATCAAATTTAAATTATATTATATTTCAGATTTGTTCATTTAATGATGAATAAAATAAATAAGTAACATAAAACAATTCATCAATAATCATTTTTATGAGCAAACTACAAATTTAATGAATTTAAAATGTGTTGAAAGACAATAAGTGTGTGTGTGTGTATGTGTGTGTGTGTGTCAGACTGACTCTGTGTGTCCCTGGAACACGTTGACAGAGTGGATGGACGGGTCTCTGAAGTCCCACAGTCTGAAGGTGGTGTCTCTGGATGAGGTGACCACCAGGCGCTGGGTGGGATGTGTGCAGCAGTGGGTCAGCTCCTGGTCATGGCCTGAACACACACACGCACACACATACTGTTTGAGCCCAAAGCTTTATAGTAAACACACATTGAGATGATTGTAGTGTTATAATATTCTTTTCTTCCTACCAGTGAGGGAGTGGACCAGCTCTGAGGTCTCCACGTCATACAGGTTAGCGGCTCGGTCCCAGGAGGCCGTCACAACCTGTTTGCCTCCTACCAGCCAATCAGCAGCGATCACCACTCCCTGATGGCTGCGCAGAGTCGTGGTCGCCACACGGATAGAAGGACAGTCGTTTGGACCCTCGATCTCGCCATCCGCCTCGTCTTTATCCGAGAAGTCCACGTCGTCTTCGCAGGGAGTCTGCTGCGGGCGGGGAAACAATTAAAAAAAAGGTCCAAACAACTCCTCAAGACAACAGAAACTCAATCAGGAGCACAACAAACAGGTCGTAGTGCTGTTGACGCTTACACTGATATCAGCAACAGGCTGTGGAGTCGGCAGCTGCACCATGTATCTCCAGATGTGAGCTGTCTGGTCTCCAGAGGCTGCGGAGGACAGAGACGATCAGAGTCAGCATAGTGTGTGTGTAAAATGTTGGTGGGTCCACACATCTCCCAGTTGTTGTAGGAGGTAATTAGTAAAGAAGAACTATTGATGTAGGCCGCTACCACAGAGGATTTTAAAAGGTGTTTGTTTTGGATCATCACCTGTTAGAGCCATCTGTTCAGTGGGGTGGAACTTGATGGAGTTAACTGCAGACAGAAAGATTTAAAACATCATATTAGACGCTGTTGATACAATACTTGTGCTGTAACCCTTCTTTTCCTACTAATGGTCATCATGTTGCCAAACCTAAGGGGTCAGTAACATCAAACACAAATAATTATAGAGTATATAGAATATGTTTATGTCTTTAAGGCGAGTGTGTAGTATTCAGTGACATCTAGAGGTGAAGTTACAGACTGCAACCAACTGAATACAGCTCAAACTTCAAAGCTGGTAGGAGAAACTATAGAGGCTGTGAAACTCGTCTCTACCTGATCCTTGATGGCCCAAATATTTGAGGAGGCACTTTCCCGTCTCAATGCTCCACAGCATCGCAGTGTGGTCTGTTCAGACACATTATGGACACAAACAAGGTGAAAAAACATTAGATTTACATTCAACAGTGGTTTTATGGTGCATACATAATGTTTACAGAGTTTCTTAAGTTAAATAAAACATCCCAATGACAAACTCACTGTAGGAAGGATGAAAGTGAGTGAAATACCTGCAGACGCAGTACCGAGGACCACAGGTTGCGTCCTGGTGACGCTCAGGTCCCAGATGCCGTCTCTGTGGCCGACATACTCCTTGACCAGCTGGCACACGGCTCTGGACGTGGTTGCTTTGAAACTGGAGACGATCTGATGCCGACATAAAACTCACGTTAACAAAGAAAGGAAATCACCGCCGCGTGCTGAACCTCGCAGGGTTTCTACACATTTTACTTCTCAAAATGGCCTCGTTTTCCTTTTTGATGTTGGGTATTAAGACTGATTTGTTGCTTTCAACATTTCCACTTCTTCTTAATATCAAATTGGTAAAATTGAAGACTGTAATTTGGCATTTTGGGGAGTTAAGATGATTTTTTATCACCTTTTTTTAAGCTAAATTAGTGACTTTAAATGCTTAATATGAATGAAATTGCATCAAATCAATAAATCCATAATCATTTATGTTCTATAAGGATGGTGTGCCATTTATACCTTAAAGGTTTAGTTCAGATTTTTTTGAAGTGGGGTTTGTATGAGGTACTTATCCATAGTCAGTGTGTTTCCTACAGTAGATCAGTTCAGAGAAGAAGTACCAGCACACATGTATTGCTGTAGACGGGGGCTGCAGCAAAATGTATCTTTGATCAATTTAAGTGTATTTAAGTTATATTCAGAATATTTTCACCGCTTTACCTTGCTGTCAGACCGCACTTATTCACAGGGAACTAAAGGGAATTATATCTCTCTATGCTCTCTTCAAAGCCGACAGACTCGGTCTGTCGAGGCAGCGTTAGACCAGCAACTCCTGTGTTTAGTGTAGAAAAGTAACGCACACCGAAGGTTGCATTGATCACTGGAAATAGACTTGAGACTTAAGAAGGCTGGAGGACTGAGACGTGAGTTAAATAAAAGAGAAATACATACGGAGGCAGAGTGTGCAACACTTTTCTCCTACTCCCAAAATTACTGTCAAAGGAGTCTGGTGAAGAGCGATACAGCAGCTTAAATATCAGAAAGGGCTGTCTGATGGTAAAGTGCTGAAAATCTATGAAGGTTTGACTTTAATACACTGACTGTAATACACTGACTATGGATAAGTACCTAATTTCACAACATTTTAAGGCCTGGAAATGATCCAGTTTTAACAGTTTGATTGAACAGAGCTGTGTAGGAACCCTGGTCTGATTGAGGGAGGAAGCGGGTCAGCAGAACTGAGGAGCTGCTCAGCAGGGTCCTTGAGGTATGCCAGGGCTAAGAAGCTTTGGTTGACAACAGCGTTATTCATATCAGTGCTGGGTTTAAAGAGGTTTCACCAAATAAATAAATAAAGAATCTTTATTGGTATTTGTCTTAAGCCTGTCTGAGCACATGCTAGGTGGGGTTGTTGTATATATACCCCACACATCTGATGCGGCTTGAAAACAAACACCATTAAAGTCAACCCAGATCTGGTATCAACATAAATGCAGACACATTAAGTATCAGTACTGTAAAGTGCATTTATCATACCAGGATTACTGTAAATGCAAAAACCGCAATGAAAAGGAAAAACAAATTAATCCAGAAGGGGACGAGAGGGGCAAAAAATAATAATAAGTCACGATGAGGCAGAAGAAATTGATCAGTAGTTATTATCAGTCGTATCAAGGTTCGGTCAAAGTGTTTACGTTAAAGATGGGGATGATACAAACTGGACTCTTGGTTCGTTTTGGACACAGACCACTAAATAAGTTCCAACTGAAAGGAAGCAGGAGAGAACGGCGTCATTCATCTGAAAAATAAAACTACACGTAGAAACAGAGCATCTCCCTCACATCTGTTAAAATGTCAAATAAATAAATGATTTAAATAAAAACTGATGCTGAAGATATGATGAATAATACCATTGCTGAGCATTGTGGGAAGGAGTGGTTGCTGGTTGTTAGCAAGCAGCGCAGCAGTTCTATGCTATAGGAATGTAAAACAGCGTCGTTTCTGTTTCATTTACATTCAATGTAACATGAATTTACTAAGTTTAGTTACTCTGGATGATGATGAATCCAGAACTTCCAGAAATATATATAAATATATTAAAGCAACAGGAACTGGAAGGTTTAAAAAGGAAACGCGAAGCAACGCAAAATAAGCTTAAGAGTAACTGAGGAGTGAATCTAACGCACCGAGCGGTTAATGCTCTACAAGGCTGTAGCTTCAGTGTGCAGTCTGCCACAGCCACAGCAGGATTTCGCTCATTTTATAATCAATTTTAATCAATAAATTGAAATATCAAATCAATATATGTGAAAATAACCCTAGTTAATGAATCAATTGCAAAAAATGTAAACTTATTTTCCACATTACAGAAGCGACAGATAAACTGTTACATTGGCTGATATACATTGGTACTGTCTGGCATAATATGTCGATCAATAAGTAACAGAAATTAGAGAAATGCCAAAAATATGTTAATTTACAAACTCTCCATTAAGTAGTTTGTCCACCAGTTTATTTTTAAACTGTAAAATGTCCCTCCGAGTTAATACTGTGTGTTAAAAGATAAAAACCAACAGAATAAATATTGGTGTTATGTAGAGCTGCAACTGATAATTATTTTCATTATTGTTTAATCTTCTGAATATTCTCACGATTAATCGTTTCGTCTTTAAAATGTTTAAAAAAAGAAGATTATCATAATTTCCCAGAACCCAAAGTGACGTCTTCCAATTGCTGCTTTTGTCCAAACAGTCAAAAAAAAAAAAAAACCCAAAGATTCTTCACTTTTTATTATAAATGACAAAGAAAAGCAGCAATTCATCACATTTAAGAAGCTGGAACCAGCAAATGTTTTAACATTTTTGTTTAAAATATGGCTAAAAAAATGAATTGATTATCAAAATAGTTGGAAACTAATTTTCTTTCGACCGACTAATTGATTAATTGGCTAATTGTTGCAGCTCTAGTTATGTGTTTCTATTAGAAGAAATAAATAAATGCCAATATATCTTTATATGAGGTTTTTAACTGTCAAATATCCGTATTAGTATCCGCTGTTTAGGCAGAAATGTGTACGAATTCACAGTTTTCTTGTAATTTGAGAGAATCTATCCTTTAAAAGCCACCACATCTGATAGATCTCCCCTAACAGGCTAATAAGTTATCAAGGTATCAGTGTTAATCTTAAAAACATTTAGAAAATAAAAGCAAAATCCGATATGGCCGAGCAGTTTTCAGCAGACCGCACACACTCTGCCTTTATTGAGCGATGACCTAAAGCAGCCAACAAATGCTCCTCCAACCTTGAGTACTTCACTAATCAAGGCACAAGAAGCATTTTGAGGTAACAACTGCTTCATGTTAAAGATGTCTCCGTAGTGTACCATTATGTGAATGCCGACCAAAAGAGCTAAATCAAAACCAAAAGAGGTGCAACTGAAAAAAAAGCCTGTTAGTGAGATAATAAAGTCGTTTTTGTTGGGTTTTTTTATTATTTATCTCACACAGAAACTGATAGAAAAAGCTCAAACTCCTACATTTGAATGACCATGTCTCTTGGGGAGGGAGTGTCGACCCCCTGGCTGGGCTGTTCATGCATATTGGCACACAAGGGGGAGAAATCAACAAGTTACCCATGAGTCTCCACCCCACAACTCCCAACTGGTTACGCTGAAGTTGCGGGATCCACCTACTCTGGCATGGCAAGAGTTTGAACGCGGCTACGAGCAAAGAGGTGGAAAAAGACAGCAGTTCTTCTCTATTCAACATTCAAAAAATAAAATAAAAAAGACATGTGATGGTACACTGCTAGAAAACAGTGAAGCCAAAATACCAATTAAAGTCAATGGACAGCTTTCTCAAACCATCTTCAACAATATAAAATATAAAGCAGACTTCCACTTATAATATGTACAACAATGATTTACACATTTCTGGATAATACTTTAAACACATAAAACAGTATTTACCTTGCTTGTGGAAGCCTTGTAGGTCGTCTTTAGTTTTTGTGACAGCTGGCTGGTGCTATGACTCGCTGCGGATTGTCAGAAAAGACAAACTAGCAGTTAAAAATAATATTCCACTTTCACTAGACACATGCTGTTTAGTATAGATGTAAACATACATGAACCTGAAGCGAATGGAGAGTGAAATGTGCCTCACCTTTTGTTTTCAGGGCTCCTTTGGCTAAATCTGCCCCTTCGAAAGTCTGTCCTTCTGCAGCCAAACGGTCGTTGAGCGTTTCGATTTCTCTGCGCACTGAGAGTTAGACGTGGTCGCGTGTTAAAGGAGCGTCAATGTGCAGATTTATTCAAACATAACACGGGTTGTCCTGCCATCAACGCCACCAGAGACAGACCTGGTTACCGTCCATGAAAGAGTAAGGAGACTAGAGGCTCAGGTCCAAGAAATAAAACATTTCTAAACTAATGCTGGCTAGGGTTTCACAATGTTTACACTGTAGGGATTTGGACAGAGAAGGCACTCATGAACATGATATCTTTTGGGATTTCCATGGAAAATTCAACCCGTATCCCTCCGTAAAAACACATATTAATCAGTAAACAAGCAAGAGAGAAAGTCTGGGAAGTTACGTTACAATCCATTCACTCAACGGCCATAAAAAATTATATATACATTAAAATAATACGTATAATGACAAATATCTGTAGCATACTATCTACAGAAATACAGGACTTACATTCCAGGTTTTCTATGTAGAGGTTTTCAAACTCCCTCTCGATCTGACTGAACATGTCCATTAGATTGCTCCTCAGAGACAGAGGCAGTTTGGAGTCCTGTGGGGAAAGAAAAGGAGAACATGAAACAAGTGTGGGTTTATTACAGAGGAGACTGAGGTGTGTGTGTGAGGCTGTTTCAGTTCAAATACAGAGTAGAGGACTAGCTGTAGTGTGTATGTAGGGCTGCAACTATCAACTATTTTCACTGTCGATTCGTCTGCCAGTTGGTTTTTCGATTAATAAATGAATTGTTTTCTCTATGAAATGTCAAAAAACGGTGAAAAATACCCGAGGTAGTGGCTTCAAATTCATTGTTTCATCTGCCAACCTCTCCAAAACCCAAATATATATTCTATTTAGTGACTTTAATGACAAAGAAAAGCAGCAAGTCCTGACATTTGAGAAGCTTTAGTGAATTTGGCTTTCATTTCAAAACAAGAATAATTTCCTGTCGACTGACTAATTGATTAATCGTTTCAGTCCTATGTGTATGTGTACAGATGTATTAAAGCAAAGTTGGCTGGGGCTGAAAAAAGGCATACAGGAAGAAAAAGGGCACAGCTAGGATGTGAATTTCCTGGCAGTGATATTAAATACTGGTCAGTCTTCTTAGAGGTCCTGGAAAATAAAAGATTGCGAGCCCTTATTTTAGGCCATTAGACTGTTCTGTAACCTCAACATCAGGGTTTCATCCAAGAAAGAGCAGATGCACAAAAAGGCTTTTAAAAAACCACTAAGCCTCAATTTGATAAATAAAATACTGACATTTGGCACCAGCAATACAAAGCAGAAGACTCTAAAAACCTTGAGGAAGGAAATAAAAAGTGAACTCCTGTCTCAGGCTTAAATAAGTCAATAAAAGTATCCATGAAGTGAAAGAATCAGTAACAGGGTGAAGGAGCACAGGGGCCTTAAACTTTTAACCTCCTGGCTTTAAGAAGCAAAAATGTAACATTAATGTTCATAAACGTTTCATGACAAGAGAAAAAAGGACCAGTGTGTAGGATTTAGTTGCATCTAGTGGTGAAATTGCAGACTGCAACTAACTTGCCTCATCCTCCCCTTCCAAGCTTGTAGGAGAAACTACGGTGGCTCGGAAACTAAAACAAAAATTGCAAAAAATGGCATCTAGAGTCAGTGTTTGGTTTGTCTGCTTTGGGCTACTGTAGAAAACATGGTGGACTCCCTGTCAGTAAAAACGGCTCATTCTGAAGGTAACAAAAACACAATCTTCTTATCTAATTCTTATTTTTAGGTGAATATACACAAATGAAAACATACCTATGAATGTTATATTCCACTTCTGCCAATAGATCCTCCTAAATGTTACAAACTGGACCCTTTAAATGCTGTTTTTACTCATTTAAACCCAAAATAAACACTACATTCTGACGCTGAGTCACAATACATCGAGTTATTACAGTAGTGAGTTCTGCACTCGTGCCACAAACAGTCTTGTTGTGACTCTGCAGCAAAGACACAAACAGGAAGTGGACCATCTCTCTTCAAAGTCCAATCATGATGAAACTGCTTTCTGTCACTCTTGTTGCCCTGCAGCTATACTATCTAAAGAAAATCAGTCAAGTGTGCTGTTAGCATTCACTGGCTGATGTTGGCAGCTGAAAGGTTCGTGCCACGGTGCACACAATCAGGATAACTGCATGGAAAGAAAAGAGGAAAGGCTGCAGAGTGTGGGGGGAAGGTACATTATGACATACTGTGTGTGTGTTGCACAAGGCCTGACATACACTGACAGATTCTGTGAGGAAATCAAACTCAAAGTGAATGTATGGGACAAGTTATTTGGAGCGTTTGGTTTGACTCTAGCAATGTTCAATACACACGGCAAAGACAGGACACAACACTGAGGAAAACTGCAGTCACATCTGATGATAAAACCCGTTATTCTTCTATATTTTGTGCATTATAACAATAGGACATGATTTTATTCTCCACTACCTCCGTTGTAGAGATCTGGGAAACAGACTCTAGCAGACTCAGGATCCTTGTGCAGTTCGTGCAGCTGCACACAGAAAGTAATCTATTCGAAATCTCTGTATCTGTTGTAGTTAACTGCATGTAGGAGCAGACCTACTTCCTGTGACTCAACTGACTGATTATTGTGACAAACACGAAACACGAAGGTCAAGTGTTTTTTGAGGTTATGTGTGTGTAACTGCGTGAACGAGCTGAATGGGTGCGCGTAGGTGGGTGCAGATATTGTGAATTAGCACATTTTTCCACCTCAGCACAGCGTGAACACTTTTAAAATGCACAAATTAAAAATGCACCTGTGGATGGAAACGCGGTCGAAGAAGGAATATAACGTGTAGAAAACAAACAACTGCACAAAGTGCTTCATGTTAAAATCTACAGAAGCCGACGTGTATTTCTATTCTCTCTTACTGACAAAAACTCAGAACGATGGTTTAGTAAACTGTCTGATAAACAAGCTCATGAGAGTCAACATGGACGAATAAAGAGAAGCGGATAAAGCGGCGTTGGAGGCGGTGCTCCGTTCAATTTCGTGAAAGCTGCTCAGTGGCACAGAAATTACCCGGATGAATACATACTGTGCATCCTCTGCGGGTCACAGTGGCACAGAGACTCATGCTGGCCGAGCCGGCTAACTTAAACCGGTTTAACCCGCCGTTAACTTGAATGGGGGATAAATACTTTAATCTTATTGGACTGAATGGATCGAATGCTGATAGTGAAACGAGTCTTTTTTTGTAGCGGTTGTGATGAAAATATATCCAGCTGCTTCTTTCCCGATGTAATCTCATAGGAAAAAGTGTTTTTGGGACGTTACTGCTGGAGTTACACAGGTCGGCCACTATGTCGAATTGGCTTCAAAGCCCGGTGCGCTACCTTGGAGCTTGTTTACAAGATTTATTTGCAACCAGACTGTATGAATGTAACTCCACTGAAGTGTGGCAAAAGAAAACCTACCGTAGGTGTGCAAAAATCACAAATAAACTCCGAGGCACTCTCTTTTAAACGCCGTGCCGTGACAATAAATCTTTTAATAGATTAAAAGAGAGTGCCTGGAAGTGTTTTGTGATTTTCCGGTCCTCATCTAAAGAGCACCTCAAACAAACTCAAACTGAAGCGCTCCTACCCAAACCTTTTATCTGTTTACTGCAGTTGAACCCTAAATGTTGCTGGAATATCTAGAATACCACACTTATTTTAAAGGGGAAAGGATTAAACCGATTCTAAATAGAGAAATCACTTTCAGAACCAGCACACGACACGTCCTCTAAATACTAATCAAACCTAAACTACACCAAAACCTACACAAGTAAGGTCTAAAAAACTATTTATGGGAGTCACACTAGACACCTGAAACTTACCTCCATTCTCATGAAGGATTCCAGATTATCAGAGGACTGGGATCAAAAGGGACCAGAGTGAAAAAACAAGAAGTCATGAGGAAGGGATTACACTGTTCGGTTCGGTTAGAAACTGGCCAAAAATCCAGAAAAACTCAACTGTACGTCACGAGAACTTCCTCTAAAACATCGAGAGAAATATTCAGGATTAATAGCAGCTTTCTGAATATCTAGAAAAGTAAGAGTTAATCGTTTTATCAACAACATTTGGCTCTCTGAGGAGGTACGTAGAAGGTTACAGGACTTCTGCACAGCAAACATTTCATTGCAGGAAGAGTTCAGCCATCATTAATCTTATTATTTACACCTGTGTTTTTCCATCTGTGAGGAAAAAAGGTCTATTTCTGTATGAAAATAACACCTCATTTATCAACAGGCGGCTGAGCGCTGGGAATATTAACTGAGGTTTAATGTGCAAATACTCTTACTGCATAATACTCTGGAATAATATACCTTAATGTTGATGTATATCAGGTCAGGTTCAGTGTTTGACTGTGACGCAGACACAGAATTATTATTATGAAGTCCATCTGTGTTTTTCTGTGTTTTTCAAAATTTCTGCTGTGCAACCAAGTTAATTCTGCTTCCTTTAAGCTTTAATACTTTGTGTTCTCTAGCCACAGTCCTGTTAATGTTTCTGCTAATTCAAGTTTAATTTTAACCATAAAAAGCTGAAACTTTCTTCCAGATGAGGGCACAACATGAAAACCTCAAATAAAAATATAAAAACATCAGAAGAGCATAAAAAAAAAAACCTGAATGCAATAAAGTTTATGAGTTTGAATCCAAATAAAGAACATATGGTCAAAGTTTATTAGAGATAATAATAAAACTGACACTGAGTTTAATTATGAACAAACAATTGAATTTTCCATTAAAGATAATAACAAAAATGTTTCTGTATGACGTCAGAATCGGGAAAAACAATCGCAATCAGTGCTTCTCTAAAAAAAAGATATATATTTTTAAAAAGTACATTTAAAAGGTGACTAACTGACTATCATGTATCCAGACTCAGGTGAATCTTAATCCTTACAACCTGATCTGCAGTTAGCATGACACAGCAAACCATACAGCCTCTCTTTTGTTTATCTTATAACAACAAAAGGAGCATAAAAACAGCCAGTTTCACACATGAATCTCAGTCTACTACAGTGTGACGTCTTCTGTGTGATCAAAATACTCGAGTTTATCAGGTTTGGAGCAGAGAAATCACCTTCCCTGCCTGATGAGTAACTGATACTGACTGTTAGTTTGTGTCTGAAACGCTGGAGTACTCTTTAATTAGCTCATTTAAAATGATAAATGACTAAATGAGACCTCGTGGGTTGATTTCCAGCCGAGAGCTCACCATTAAGATCATTAAGTGTTATTCATGTCGTACGTATTTGCAGGTAAAATCTGAGAGTAAAGACATTATTGATCCCTTTTCTCTCGGTTTCTCCTTTCCGATTATTAACTCCAGGTAACTGTGTTTACCCGGCATCCCCGGAGTCATCCAGGGAAGCACAAATGCCTAAGCCTGTTACGAATCCGCCTGTTTTAACCACAGTTAAAATAACCTCGCAGCAAATCACGGAGCAACAGCGGCACGCTTAAGCCAGCAACAATATAAACCACTATGTGCCCTCTAAATGGGTGCATTAAAACCTAATTGGCTTAGGCTTACAACCAGAGTGCTTATGGGTGCTGACAGCAACAGCAGGTCAGCGAGCTAATGATGACAGACAGACGAGCGCTGACTATTTAAAGACTTTCTCTTTGTGGGTTTGTTTTGTGTGTTTTCTGTGTCAGTGAGTCGTCACCTGTCCCTCCAGCATGTCTCTCTGCAGGCCGGAGCGATCCTGCTCGGTGCTGTTGGTCCTGCGGATCGACAGGCTGTGAGACTTCCTCTTCTGCTTGGCCTGGCGGGCGGCGGCGCTGCTCCCGCTCTCCACCGGCATCCCTCCGTCCAAACCCCGACGTTAACCACAGCCTGACGAGATCACAAGAAAGAGAAGGTAACCGGAGGGGGCGAGGGAACGATTCCTGGCTGCAATAAGCTGCTGCGACTCAGTGGAAAGCGTGAGACGACTGTGTCGCGTTTGGCAGCTTCAACGTGTGAATGTGTGAAACCCTCAGTGGGTTCCTTAAGGTGAAACATGAGGAGATCACTGGGACACAAACTGAGAAGTGTGCAACAATAACAACCTTTTAATAACCGTTTGTAGTAACAGAAAAGGGACGGACAACATGGATTATTCTTCATCCTCTGACAACAGCACTTCATCTAGTTAATGTTCATCATGTTGGACTGTTTGTTAATGGAGGCTGCAACCGGCATCTTAAACAGGAGTTTAAATAATTCAGCAAGGTCGTAACAAATTGTTATTTGTTACTATAAATTAATCTGTCGATTATTTTTTCTATTAAAATGATTTTAACAGTCAATAAGATGTCCCTGCAAGCATGATTCAATTAATTTATTGTTTTTTTTTAATGTATGATTGATATAAAATCGTATAAAAGTAGTAAATCCTCATATTTAAAGAGGTGGAAACAGTAAACACCTCTAATCATTCTCATTTCTTTTGTTTTTAGGTCCTTAAAATTGCAGAAAAATGTGGATCACTGTTCCCCAAAAACCTAAAGTGACGTCTTTAAATATTTTAACACAACAACAATCATAGAGGACTAAAGAAACCTGATTATTCACATTTCTCTTTATAACAATTACTCACTGCAGCTCAAACTGGTTACCAAAACTGTTAAAAAAGTCATTTTAAACACTTTGAACACTGGAAATAAAAGCCTGTAGGTTAATCAAAACTGATAAATATAATAAATGTCCCATCTTAATTAGATTCCCTTGTTATAAAAGCACACAAACACAATGCCATTCATTGTTATGGATGCTTATATCCCAGTAATGACACAACAAACACACATCTTGGCCCTTGAGTTGACATAAAAAGCTCTCTGGAGACACAAATAAACAGCCTGTTGACCAATAAAACACAGAACAGCTCCTGTGTATCCCTTAATGTGTGTTTTCCTCTGGATAAAAGGAGTAAAAGTGGTTTATTTGGTGGCTGTCAGACACCTTGGCTGGTTCTTCTCACTGACTGTCACTGTGACCTGAGGTAGAGAGAGAGCCGCGGAGACACGAAACAACAACATAAATACATATATAAAACAATACACACAACGCTTTGGCTGCAAGTGAGCGTTAACACAACAAGCCTAGACATTTTGAGCCTTTAAACGCAGCTATAATCGGCTACAAGCCACCGTTATCTTCCTCTTTCTCCTCCTCCTCCTCCTCCTCCTCTCCAACATTAGCTGCTGCGAGCTAATCGGCTAACGGGAACACAACCGTCCCAAACTTACCAGAAAAAAAGTCAAATATTAAGTTTTATTCCGGGGAAATTGCGGGTAGATGAAGTGTCGGCCCTTGTGTCATTCTTTCTTCAGTGTGGGAGAAAAGCTGCGCAGGTTTGTTTCGTCCTCAGTCCGTGTTGACAGTTGAAGCTCCGCTACGTGAGGAGAAAAGATAACGAAGCCAATTCCGGCCGGGGGTTTTTCACAATAAAAGCTTGCTCGCTTCAATAAAAAAACCACACTCCATTTAAAAATTCTTAAGTTTCTTGTTTTCTTCGGTTTTAACACACGCCAGCACCCAAAATGATTAACTTTAAAATGTTTTTTTGTGAATGTATGATCTTCTTGTAAATTCGGCATATTAAAAACTACTAAAATGATTAAAATTAGGAAAATATTCATAGGGTGGAAAAACTTGCAAACTATCACATATTAATATTTGCTTGGAAAAGACCGCAAATAAAGATATTTTAACTAATAAATATTACATTATTGTGGCACATTAGTAAAGCATTGAATAGAAATATCTAAAGGTGGCATTTAAGTGAAGTACATGTCTCTTTACACTTTATTTTTAAGTAATTTAAATTAATATGTTAAATTTGATAGCATTTAACACCAAACTGGGCTATTGTATTGTAAATATTTGCTTTTGACAACTTGTACAACATGTTAAAGCCTATGAACCCCCACACAGGTGTTTTCAGTCATTCTGGCTGATTAGATCTCAGGTTGGAGCTTTGATGAGAATTTATTAAGTCACAAATCAATCTCCTAAAACCACTTGTGCGGGTGTTGAGAGACTTGTATTTTACCACATCTGTATATTTGACAAAAGCAAGGAAACAAAACTGTTAAAATCCAAATAAGAGTTTGACCTGTTTGCTATCTCTGTGCGATAGAACTGAACATTTGGGGGCAATGCTCCTGCAAAAGGGAAACTTTTGGATAGCAAACTGATTATAACCAACATTTCCAACTCAAAACAGGTTGAAGATGAAGTGAGAGAAGACTTAAGCACACTATACAGAGGAATATATAAAAGAAAGATGTAAAACAACCTGACAGACTGCAGTTTAGTTCCGGTGTATATTTATTTGGCTCCCTCGTTAATGAATATTACTCAAAGGGGACACTTTTACAGGATGTATCATCATCACTTTATCCAAAGTAAACCCAGCATTGGCCACATACAAGCTCACGCAACTGCTATTAGCAAGAGAAAAACTTGTATACAAAATCAGTTTAACAACTGAATTATAGTTAACACATCATTTGTTAATCAGGGTCTAAGTTTAAATATGTCAACTGCGGAAACAAAAGACATTAACCATCACACAACTGGTTCCCGAGTCTCTGCTTTTCCATATACAGTCCTTCCATATGTTTAAACTTTTGTGAGCAAAAACTTGAGATCTGACGAATAAATGACACACTATTATTATAATTACTAATCATTTAAATGTTTTTTTTTCCCCCCAGCAGTTTTACAGTTCTCTATGGCGCCAGCATCCTGAAGGACGACGCTCCCATGTCACAAAAATACTAAATGACCAGAGTTTCCTCTATAAAAAAGGAAAGATGTTCTTTTTTTTTTTTTTTTTACTGCTGTGGGAAAATGTGTAGAATGAAAACACAAACATTATATCCACACAGAAGCTTGTGTGTCCAGAAACAGTCCAGAAAAAGCAGTTTTATCTGTAATCGTTGGTGCCCGACTTCCTCTTCCCGGCCAGGAGGTGTTTGGGTTTGAGGTCGAACACGTGTCGGTCGGCCTCTCCCTTCTTGCCCTGGCGGTTCATGTCTTTCTGGGAGTTCTTCATCATCTTCTTTGCCTTCTTTGCCATCTGAGGAACGAAACAAAGAACATTGAAAAGAGTTTCCTTCAAATGAGCCATTATCTTAAGCCACCAGGGTCTTGTTATTAAATGAGTCCTGAATGTGCAAATGTCTGTGTACATATATCATTTTTATGAGCTAAAAACCCAAATTCTAAACCTTAAAAGGGTTTGAGATGGAGTCATCTGAGCCCATATTTAATATTTAGGTTTGCTGTACAATGTCACTAAATTAATGGCACTAACTTTGAGCACAAAGGAGAAAATAAACCTAAAATACCAGTAATAGTTCATTTATAAGCAATTTTCCTTATAAAATCCAGTTAATTCCTTTGTACAGTAACGATGGCAGAGAAACTTCAGTCGGCCACAAAAACCGCCTTCATAAACAGACACTGAGTATATAAACTGCAGTATAGTTTAAAGTAAAGGCGCCGTCACGTACCTTTGGATCCCGTATTCCAGACTGGTCTCGTGGTGGACGGGAGGCGCTCTGGCTGCGGGTTTTGGAGGTCGGAGGGGCCGAAGCTTCACGCTTGCGTTTCTTAGTGATGCTTCGGGACCGCCGGGCCTGTTGTGCGTAGTGGCTCTGAAAGCACGAGAGGAAAATACTTATGATCAGTGCTTCTGTGTGTGTGTGTGTACTTCTGTAGCAGCAAGTGGAAGACATTCACACATCGGGACTTTTTAAAGATGTTATATGGTGAAGGACTAAATTCTGTCATGTTTTAAGTTGACGTTGGGAAAAAAATTTAATCAGAAACTGAAAAAATATCCATCACAGGCCTGTTTTCCTTTCCGTATGGATCCAAAGACCAGGAGAGTTATAAGAGAGAAGTTTACTTGTTATAACTTATTTCTAAAAATCCTCAAACCAGTCTTATTTTTCTAAAGTCTAACAGGATAGGAACTCAAAAGTGCTAAAAACCAAGCAGAATCTCAATGCACATAATATTATAGTAATAACTGTATTGACAGAGTATTTTGTTTAAATTTAAGACTTTCTTAAAAAAAGCTGCAATATTTAACATTTTCACATACCATTATGAAACAGGTCACAGTTTATATGATGAATTAAATGATATTATAGACTGTATCCTGTAGGTTCAGGTCTAAAAAAGGAAGAACTTACATCATCCTTGTCATTCATGTCCAGACCGAGTTCACCCATCTCCTTCTCCAGCTTCTTTCTTTCAACCTGTACACATAAAACAGAGAGGGGTTAGAGGGGAGTTCTAGTCAAATATAAGCCTGTGTTACAAAAAGATAAAGAAATAATCTCATAAAACTAAAGCTCAATCACTATCGAGGTAAAAGGTTGAATGCAAATGGCTTCAGCTACTTCAAAAAACTGATAAAATGGAGGCATTATGGCATACTTTGCGTAGAAGTCTCCACTAGGTGACACTCCAAACTTGAGAGGCTTTTCAAATTAAAATGCTGAGAGGATTATATCACATTTCCACACGTTATCTCTCTGGAGTCCAAAAGTTGTCACAATAAATTAAACTAATGCTCGGTTTTGCTTTAAATTTAAAAGTAATTACTTCCATTAATGCCGAAGTTTGACACTCAAAGCATTTTATTTATTATGTTCAGATCTCTCTGCCTTCTTACACACAGTTATAACGTGATACTTTAATATGTGCAGATAAAACTGAGAACACGTTCACTGTTTCTTGGATGGCTGAAGCTCTGCTCCTGTTGTCAGATGCATGTTCAATACATGCTGATATATTAGACCCTTATAGATAATGGAGTTAAAATAATCCAATATCACACACAAACTATGAAAAAGCATACATTTTTAAAACATTTTGTACATTTGTTTGTCACTTATCAGCTGATATACACACAGCCAGGGGTTGTAAAGTGTTTAAAGAGAAGATTTAAGCACTTTTAAAGCACTTTCAAACTCATATTATCATCTAAATTGTAGAAATCATTGTGAATTGTCACTATTTATTTTAAGAACTGTTCATATTAACTTTGATTTAATGTTCTGATCATAATTATTGAATTTTGATA